TGTACTTAATACTAGTTCTACGCTAAAACTTAGTAGATATATCCGGCTAGAAGCTATTACCTAATCTATCTTTAAAAGTAACGTAAATCTCGACGAGAATATAGTACTCTAGCTTACTAAGACCCTTCTTACTAGTACGTATCTTTATAGTACCTAGCTCGGCGTATATACTACTAGAATCGGTACTAGTAGTAGTTAAAACCTCTACTATCTACCGCTTTATCTAAGCTAACTATAACTCCTTCTTCTTCTTTAGCTACCTTCTACTAGATTACGTAGGCGTAGTACTACCTACCGAGGTATTAACGTTCTTAATCGAGATTTAAACGGCCTACTATAAGAGTACTTATAGAGCGAACTCGCTTATTAACTCGGTATTAAGTAGGTAGGCTATTATACTACTCGTATTACTTAGAGGTTACTCGGTAGTAGATATCTTATACTAAGATAGATTAAGAGACATTTCTATACTTCTAGGGCGTTCGTAGCGCGTAAAGGTATCGTTTTAGTATATTAGATCTATAGCTAATACGAGTAATAGCTCTAAGAAGGTATATATAGCTATATACGCGTATACGACTAAGGCTAAGTACTTACTACTTACTTAGTAATACTAAACTACTTTCGGCCTTATAAAGCCCTTAACCTAACCGCTATACTAGTATAGCGGTCACGTTAAGGCAAGAGGCCTTACTAACCGGATATAGGTACTAAGACGCCTTATAAAGGCCGCTATAAGGGCCGCCGCAAGGGCTGCTAAAAGTGTCTAGTAACGATAGGTGTATGCCTCCGCGTCGGCCACAAGACCATTATTAATAATCCCCGACTTCAGTCGGCAGAAATGGGACAAGTCTCTTCCAGTTCAGGCCCACCTCAACGACGGTAGTCTAGTGGTCGTGGGCGTAGCCGTAGTCGTGCTTGTAGTCGTGCTCGTAGTACCCCGCCCTGCGAATCAACAGACACCTCTCTTGACTTGCACCGCGACGACATGACATTATTGTATTGTCGACTGACGGGCTGATCGCTACCTAACCTGCTTGTTCAGCCTCTGCTTGTTGTTGAGCCTCCGGACGCTGCTGTGCTGCAGGTGCTCGGACATTGCTGGATCTCCAGTCGCGTGGCCTGGAAGAACGTCAGCACATCACTGCAGCGTTTGGGAAACTGCAGGTCCGCCCGCCGCATGTCTTGAACTGCCGCTCGACTCGCCTCGTCCATCACATGCGCCCTCACCTCTGCCAGAAGCACTCACAACTCCTCGACGACAGACTGCCTCCTATACACAACATCTTCGCCATCTACCTTGCCTACCTTGCCTACCTTACCTACCTACACCACCGCCCTGCCTGCTTGCCTGTCTACCTGCCTGCCTGGCTGCCAGCCTTCGCCTTCGCCTGCCTTCGCCTGCCTTCGCCTGCCTTCGCCTCCCGCCCCACCACTGGACCACAGACAACCACAACTTAACGACACTGCAACCTCCAGCTGAGGTGCCTTGGCTTAAGTTGCCTACCTGACCCGGCTCCCGCGCGACGGACACCAACCCAACCCAATCCACTCCAAACCTACCTTCCCTACCTTACCTTATTACCTGATCTCCCTCTTCCGACTACCTTTACCCTTTTTATCCGCCTGTCCTGTCCTGGTCTGATCGGATCTGGTCTGGTCTGGTCTGGTCCCGTCTGGTCTGCCTGGGGAAAGCACATACCATAGGACGACTCTGCCTTACGTCACTGCTCCACGACCACTTTGTCGCCCGGATTAATCCACCCGCACAACACCTGTCATTGATTCCAATCCGACGCCTGTCATTAGCCATTATTATCGCCGCTCCGAAACACCCTCCCTCACCACGCACACCCGACCCACACGCCGTCCAGACACAACCATGGCGTCCAAACCTTCAGACTTGACTGTACGCCCTCACTCCCAGTCCTCCTTCCACCCTCCGCCGTCGCGCTCGAGCACTCGTCTGCAGCCGGTACGCTGTCAGTCATACTGCTGCTCACCGCTGCGGCCGCCGCTCCCGCGCAGCGCTGCCTCCGATGTTTCCCATTCGTCTTCTTACAGCGACAAATCCCTTCATAGCACCGGTACTGATGGAGTCTCTTCTGAACAGAGCGACGAAGGTCAGCCTGCGGTGGACTTTGGCGATCTCGTCGATAGCGGCACCTTTGAGCAGGTACCCTTCCTCCGAAAATTCACTCTGATTTCTGCAAGAATCGCTGACCGTGCAACAGATTCTCGAGATGGACGACGACGAAGAGGAGCGCGAATTCAGCAAGAGCATCGTCTACGATTTCTTTAATCAAGCCGAGAGCACATTCGAGAAGATGCACGAGAATCTGTAATCATTCCCTCCCTCTGAACGCTGGTATCTGGGAGTCATTCCTATATGCTAATGTCTGCCTCCAGTGAAAAGAAGGATCTGGCACAGCTCTCTGCCTTGGGCCATTTCCTGAAAGGCTCATCCGCGACGCTGGGACTTACAAAGGTGAAGGACTCCTGCGAGAAGCTCCAGCATTTCGGGGCCATGAAGGACGAGACGGGCACTCACGACGAACCTGACAAGGAAAAGTGCATCGCCAACTGCAAGAAGACGATTGAACAGGCGCAGAAGGAGTTCAAGGAGGTGGAGAAGCTCCTGAGGAAATTTTACCATGACGAGGGCTCCGGTTAGAAGCCCGGTGGCGCGACCACGGGACGTGGCTGAATGCGCAGCCTCCCATTATTCTTCATCTCGACGACATGTCTCCGCATGACGGGCTTGGATGTGGTGGCCAGACCGATCTGCCGCGAACGAGACCTGTCTGTGGCCGAATGCCGGCAGGCTTGGGGCACTGGGCCCAGCGGCGCCCAAACGACTGACTACGTTCATTTCCATATGGCATGCAGATGGGGCACGGTACGGACATTGCAAATGCAAGTGTAAGGACGGCGAATCCGCAATTGCTCCTTGCCAGATGTCTTTCCGGCATGCATTCATGCATCCCGTTGATCTTACATGATCGTATCTACCTTCTTGCCTCCCGCGTGAACGCCTTAAACACCCGCCTTACCCTCGAGTGTTGAGAACCGGTATCTACTTTCGCTTTCTCTCCTGGTCTCGTAGCTCCCTCCAGCGGGACATGAGAGGCCTCATCTCCTCCTCGCAATCCCGTGTTGCGTCTCGTTGGCAGCCGTGGAAGTTTGCAATGAAATCCCCTTCCTGATACAGACCTACGAAGATCTTTGTCAGCACATGATTGTCAGTTTTTACCCAGTGGGCTGGATTACCTTCTGTAGCATCCCCACCTTTCTCCCTCGTGTAGCTGTTCAATATCCTCTGGGGAACCAAAGCCAGCTTGGCCAGAACCGTGCCGTGCCACTGCACAATGTGTTCCAGCGCATGTCCCTCTGCTCTCTGAAAATTATAGCTCCTGTACAGCGGGTCATACCACGCGTCCAAGAAGAACTTGGCCCATTCTCCGGATCTGATCATCAGACTGCCTCCCGCCAACCCTTCCTTGTCCTGCGAGACGACCAGGTCCACGCGCTCTCCGCGCAGGTTTCCGAATGTCTTGATGACGCTGTCGGGCGGCACCACGGGCTTATCGGTGATCATGAGGGACTCCAACGTTCGCGGATGGAGGAGCTTCTCGTGCAGGCTCTGCCCGGCATTCATGATGAGGGCGGTGGAGGTGAGGTACCAGATCCAGGGCGTGTGCGGATACACGGTCATTGCGTGCCTCATGGCGGGGACGGTGCTCCAGCTCTGCGGGGTCTTGGGCATGAGGTCGTAATCGGTGGTGTTGGGGAAGAAGGTCGCATAGCCATGTCGCGAAGCATAGTGCCGTCTGTTCTCTTTGATGTTCTCCTTGTATTTGGCGGAGAGCTTCGGGTCGAGCGTCGTGACGACGACGACTTCGGGGGTGCCCGGTGGTGCTCTGCCTATTGAGGAAGACGAGGAAGAGGAGGAGGAGCTGCCGCCGAACAGCCACAAAAGGAACCAGAGGCAAGCGACGATGCCGAGGAACGGAGGGCCGTAGGTCTTGAGGGCGCGGCGCGGACGGTAGGAGGAAGACGAGCGCGTCGAAGTGTAAGCGGAGGCCATGGAGTTATTCCCTCTGGGATACGGCATTTGCTGCATGCTGGGCAAGTGTCGTCGGCGGTGTTCGTATTCGGCGCGGGTTCTTCGGGGCAAGGCAGATGAGGGCCCAGCTGGAGGCGGAGGCCGTCTCTCTCCCTCTCGTTGAGACGAGGGGAGGGCTACGAGGCCATGATGCGCATGCGTACGTCGGGGTCCAGGAGACGCTGATGGGCGGAGACGAGTGACTGCGTCGGCGGGGATATGAGCGGGAATCGCATAGGTATCATGCGAGAGGGTCGTTTGGCGGCGGCGGCGGCGCGGGAGAAGACACGAGATCCATTTCGCGTTCGGCAGCTACCGAAGCGAAGAGTCGCGACGGCGATCCCGTTTCAGCCCTACCGTACCGCGTCTGCCCAGGCCATGCATTCCCACACAGTAAAACCTTCCACCTCACCTTGTCCCTCTTCCTTTACTCCTCCCGTCCGGAAAGACGCAACGCACTCTGGATGTGGAGGCTCTCTCGATCGATCATCAGACCCACGTCCATCACCTTCCGGCTCGCCACTGTCGGGCGCGTCGAAGCACTCGGAGCAGGCTCTCGACGCCTGCCGCCTTGCCTATCATGGCCCGAAAACGGACTGAGGCGCTTTGGGAGCGCTAGCAGGATCTACCAGGAAGCCGTAGCAGCTGCAGATACTTCAGCCGACACCGTACCAGTTGCGTTGTCAGCAAAGACTGGTCTCGACTTTGCGAAGGCTCTTCCAGTGGTGTGTCCAGGATGCGGAGCTCTCAGTCAAACTGTCGAGCCGGACGCGCCAGGCTTCTACAGGCCCAAGCAACGCAGAGCAAAGAAATTGCAGAGACAGCAGGAAGATGCGATCTATCAGCAGGCCATGGCCAGGTTGGCGCCCTCTGATGGGGTCCAACCTGGCGTGAAGGCGTTAGAACAGCCCGAACAGCCAGAGGAGACGCCAACGATCTGCAATCGCTGTCATGATCTCCTCTACCAATCGAAAGGCCACTCCATCCTCCATCCTGCGATGGAGTCCATACGGGACATCATTGAGTCCAGCCCGCACAGATACAATCATATCTACCATGTTCTGGACGCCGCCGACTTTCCCATGTCGCTCATCCCGAATCTCATGACTTCCCTCGAGCTCCCGAGGCTTCGGACCCAGAACCGGCGTTCGAAAGCCAGAAGTTTCGTCAACGGACGCGTGGCTGACGTATCGTTCATCATTGCCAGGTCGGATCTGTTGGCGCCCCAGAAAGAGCAAGTAGATCGAATGATGCCGCAATTGCAAGAGATACTAAGGGACGCGCTGGGACGAAGTGGTCGGAGGGTGCGGCTGGGGAACGTGAAATGTGTCAGTGCGAAGAGGGGCTGGTGGACGCCGATGGTCAAGCAAGAGATTTGGAGAAGAGGAGGGGCTGGCTGGGTCGTAGGCAAGGTCAATGTAGGCAAAAGTGCTCTGTTTGAGGTCGTGTTTCCGAAGGGGAAGAGTCAAACCGGAGTAGAAGATGCACGGATCAAGGCATTGCGAGAAGCTGGTTCGACTGATGAGGAAATTGAGAACGCAAGGGTTGCGAACGAGGTCTTTGACGGGGCTAGAAGCGTGATTCTACCTGACCCGGTATCCCGTGACGCTGGGCTCGAGGCCCTGAATGAGCCGCTGAAGACCGCTATAGAGGATCAGCAGGATGCGCAAGATGCTCTCTTTCCGAACGAGCATCGTGAATTCGATCAAGAGGAGATCTTGGAGGATGATGATGATGGTGATGATTCGTCGGAACTCCTACCACCTGCTCAGCCTGAGACGCAATACCCGCAGATGCCCGTTGTCTCTGCATTGCCCGGAACTACAGCTTCGCCAATTCGCATACCATACGGCAACGGTAGAGGCGAGCTAATAGATCTCCCTGGGATCCAGCGTAGCTCACTGGAAACCCACGTGCGGCCCGAGCATAGGTCTTCGCTCGTGATGAAGAGTCGAGTGGTTCCAGAGCAGCACACGATCAAGCCAGGAGGTTCGTTGCTCATTGGTGGGATCATACGGATCACACCGAAAACTGAGGATCTGATCTTCCTTGCTTGTCCGTTCACTCCATTGCGACCCCATGTGAGCAGCACGCAAAAGGCCAATGCCATCCAAACTGGCACCCAGGAAGACGGCACAGCCTACACCGGCTCGGTGGAGAACATTGCTACCGATGCGGCCAAGTCCCGGATGAGGAGCGCCGGCACATTCAGACTGGAGTGGGACGTTACCAAGATCCGCGCTGGGCCTGTGACAGACAAGACAGCGGGTAAACAGAAAGCCGAAAACTTACCGTACATTGTCTATGGCGCCGACATATTAATCGAGGGCGTCGGCTGGGTAGAATTGACGTGTCAGGTACGGAACCGACGCCAGAGTTTGATAACGGATGCTACGAGTGCACACGTCAGCGCCGACGGCGAACGACAAGCCGACAGCAGGCCTGAAGTCGAGGTCTTCACTCCAAAGGGCAAATTCATCGGTGTCAGGAGGCCATTAAACGCCTGGCTTGCTGGCGGCCCCAAGAAGGTCGCTAAACACAAAGAGCGATCTCGGCCACGAGCCACAATTTCGATGCATCGGCGAAGGGAAGGTGGAAGATGATCAGGCCGTACCGCGATGCAGCAGTTTGTTGGACGCCAATTGTGCTAAGAATACGACTACGACTACACGCTAGAGATCGGTTCATGGAAAATGGAAAGGATTCGCAATGCTCATTCTCGCCACATATTGTTCTCCGTCTCCTGTATGAGCGGAGTGGATCGGACGCGGCCGCTCTCGACGCGGGAAGCAAGGTTGCTGTCCTTGTTCAGGCGATCGACTTCGTCCCTCAGGCTGTCCGCATCCTCTCCATCTTCAACGTTGCGAAAGGTGATGGCAGGTCGAGGTCGTTCACTCCTGCTACCATTCTGCTCACGCGGTAAGCGGATCGCTGAAGGCAACCAATGGGTGTCGGATCCAGGCGCAAGGAAAAGCACAACCTACACATGACGATTCGGTCAGCGGCGGCCTCCCATGACGTTTTCGGCGAGAAAAATCGACATACCTTCCACGTGAACACTGCCAGTGGTACTACGAGCATGATGATTGCAACCCTCCGCTCTGCTGTCCGCCAGGGTTCCACACACGCAATGTTCCTCTCATACCGAACCATGCACGCGTCGGCTCTATGTGTCTTGTCCTGGAACGGGAACGCCATATCTCGTGGGCTGTTGAACCCACAGCAGCCGAACGCATCCTGTATCCGCAATATGGACGTTGCATCTTTGGTGCGCCACATTGCATTCCACTTCTCGTGCAACGGACACCAGAGTCCCTGTGCCGGAGCAATGTGCGTTCCCGCCAACGTGGCCAGGACGGTCTCGTAGACGAGGAAGAAGGCATTCACCGCCTGGAACACCTTGGACGTCTCCAAGGCGCCTTTGGTCGCGAGCTGCGATTGGAAGCTGACGATGCACTCGAGGGCGATGCCCGCGAGGGGCGGCAGAGCGACGGTGAGGGCCCCGAGGGTGTTGGGGATCGGAAGGGAGTAGATGTTCGCTTTGTACGTCGCGTACGCCGCCAGAGCCGTGAGCGCGGCGAGGAACTACACAGTAGCAGCACGCGTCAATTCAACGCTCGTTTTGCCCTGCCAATCTCGGGTCTGTTGAAGACTTACGAGGACGCTGATACTCGTGATGATCTGTCTCTTGGTGAAGCGGGCCATTGTCATCGTCGGTCTCTCTTTTGCTTTTATCTTTGTTCGCGGTTTGTCACCACCTCCTGGGGCTCTTGCTTGTATTGCTGCTGCGAGCAGAAGAGCGGCCAGACTCGCTAATGATAAAATAATCAGAGGAGAGGTCCCTTATTAGTACTGATTGATAGTGGGATGACGAGGTAGAAGAAGAAGAGTAGCTAGCGGTGGATCGTTGGAGTCCTGCCTCTGATAGAAAATGCCTCGCAAGGCAACCTGACGGCTCCTGATGATGCTCGCTACACGCGAGATAGAGACTGTAGTAGTAGCCGTGTGATGTGTGGTGTGTGGTGTGCACGCCAGCTGGCTATGATATCCGCTATCAGGCATGTACCTAATCTCATGTATTCATGCACTACTCTCATCATGTTCACATACAACATGTACCTGTACCTCTCTCTTTACCCCGCCTTTTCACACAAGCAACAAGCAGCGGTGTCGTGTCAGTTCCCCGTGTCACAGAGTGGGTCTCACAGCCTTGATTGTATTGTATTGTATTATATTGTATTGTATTGTATTGTATTGTATTGTATTGTGCTCGCATGCAGGAGGCGGGAGTCGCGCAGCAGTTCCATGTACATTGATTGTTAATAAGTGTCTTTGGGTGACATCGCTGATCGTGAAGATCGGTGGGCATGCTGGGATGTGAAGTGCTTTTGACTTCCACTGCACAGCTGCTTCCCAGCCGCCTCCCTGCTTGTTTTGCCGCCGAAAAATCCGTACGGTTGACATTGTTGGCTCGTGACGAATCAATCTCATTATTTGGTCATTTTCATGATCTTCTTCGTCACTAGCAATGCCTCTGTGTGCATTAAGGAATATTTACATGTCATGATCTAAAAGGCATGATTTCTCATACCAACACATCCTCCAGGATACCATCACCAGCCAGATCTTCCCTCCTCATCCTATTCCGCGCGTCAAACACACGCAAGTAGGCTCCCTGGAAGCCTTTGAGTGCTTGCAGCAGCCTCTCTCTTTCTCGACCGTCGCTTTCCAAACTCATCGCTATCTCCTTGGTGGTGTTGCCTCTGCGCACGAAGTATCGGCCATCCGATCCATACCAGCTAGCGCCGAGTGATTCCCGGACATGCCTATCCGCCGCAGCCTTTGTGTCTGGCCATCGGCATGCGAAATCATCGTCGACCGGCTCGGCGGCCAAGAATTCAAGCTGGTCGGACTCACAGAGTCCAGCTGAGAGGGCCGTGGCGACTTCGAATTGAGCTTGCATGTGGCTCGATAGACCTTTGCCGTGCTCGGTGCATCGCTCGACGTAGGACGCAAATGTCAAGGAAGATTCTGCGACCTGGAGCATAGCTGCCAACGTTCTTTGAACGTGTGCCAGACTCAGTAGCCCCGGGTCTGCCTGAACAATCCAATATTGTTTCTCGATGCTCGCCAAAATCGTACTCACGCTCTCGATTGCCGCAAGGGTGCTGTCCCTGTTCTCCAGCTCTACGGTGTACATGAGTTCGAGTATGGCTTGGCTAGCCGATGCAAGCACAGGCAGTGCCATGATCCAACCGCAGGCAGTTGAGAAGGCACTGTCTATGTAGGCTGGAAAGATCGCTGCCAGCAGGACATGGCGCAGGCTGGGCGCGCTCTCATTGCCTCGCTCTCTGACGCCCTTCACGGCAGTTGACAGTTGGTCAACCAGATACTCTTGCTGGCCATCCGTAGCCGCTCTTTCGCTGACTGAATGCACAAAGGCGACAAGTTTCTTCCGGGTACCTCCATCACGAAGCTTGGGCGTGTAGCTTCGGAGCCGTCCTACAACATAGGTCGGATCACCCACGGGTAGCGGGAAAACGGTAGATTCCGTGAAAAATTGATCGATGCGGCAAATCTCGAGCGTATGCTGCTGCAAGAACGACACGACATGTTGGACGAACTCGACGTACGCTCCCTTTGCGTTGACATCAGCTACCTCACTCTCAGCCGTCAATTGCAATTCTTGGTAATTGGCCTTCATTGCTTGCATAAGTTGGCTCAGCATTCCACGATACGTGCATTTGACTTCATTTCGCCGGGCTGGCTGTTCGTCGGCGACCTGTTCGACGTGTTCTCTCATGTTACAGAGTATCGATGAGATGAGGGCCAGGCGTCTGTGGCGCACTTCCTCCAGTGAGACCTGGTAGACTGTGGTCCGAGAATCTCTCACGAAGGGCAAGTTGTGAAGAAGAGGCTCCTGGGCACAGCAATTCAGCAGCGCGGAGGTCAGCAGGTGCTGGAACTTCAAATTGACCTCTCTTTCGACCAGGGACAGGATCCACGCCTTCAGGACTTGAGGTCTGACGTCTTCATCGGCACTGGCGTGCTTGATGATTCTAGCCAAGAAGTAGGCCGTATACTTGCGTTTCTGGGCAGTCTCCCTCATTTGGTACCAGCTGGTCGTACTATACTCGTCTGTGTAGCTCGACCAACTCTTTTCGTGTTTTGCAACAGAGATACTGGCCAATTCGATCCAAACATCAATCAGACGCTGCTGCAATGCATCTTCAGCAGCTCTGTCCGCGCCAAAGACGTTCGATACGAATTGGGCAACAGGTGAGTACAGGGCTTCGGTAAGGGTCGGACTTGAAGAATCATGAGCCCCTTCGTCCGCCGCGTATTCTTGAAGAGCAGCATAGTCGCCAAACTCCTGGCTATCCTCGCTCGCTTCTTGTTGACTGTTTGGAGCTAGGCGCATCCGGTTCTCCATCTCAATCGCAGTTTCCGTGACCTTTAGAGCTTCGGAAATGGTACTCTGAAGGCCATGATTGAGCGGGTCGAAAAGCTCGAACACATGCCAGAACTTGCTGCCTTCGATCAATGCTCTCGCCGAGAGCAAGTTGCAGGAAGAGCTTAGGACTCGTTTGAGGCCAGCGATCAAATCTGTAAGAGTCTTGACGACCTGTTGCTGATTTGAAGACACCGCGCTCTCAAACTCGGTCTTCTGAACAAGGATACCTTCAAGCTCGGCCTCCCTCCTCGCCCGCTCAGCTTCAGATCTGGCGAGTCGAAATTGTGCTATGGTCGCTTTCAACATGTTGTGGAACCATTCCACGAACGAGTCCAATGTGGCAATCGGCTCATGGGTGGACACTTGGAAGCTTGTAACCTTGGTCCACGCCCGTACGCTCAGTCGACATGCCTCGCGGTGGGAGACCGAGTGATCAATCAAATTAGGTAGTAGCTCCAACCTGATTCGATGTGCTGGAGGGAGGGTGCAGTGTAGAGTACACAGGATGTCGAAGTGATTACGCAGCGCCTCAAGATCCTGCCTCTCGACGACGCCATCTTTTCGAAATGAGCGCCCATGATTCGGAATTAGTCGATACCCGATCCCTCCAATCTTCTTCTCACTGTAGACACAATGCTTGCGCATACCGAGCAAACCACTCGCCAATAGCTTGAGGAATATGTGGAAGGAGCGATCGTCCGGGAGGATTTCTAAGTAGGACGAATCTCCTGGCTCCTCAAGAAATTTTGGTGAGCCTCGACTCTGCTCGTTCCTTAACAGTGCGAGATTTCGATGAGCGAAGAAATCGAACATAGTGTTCAGAATGGGTTCGCACTTCCACCAACCCCAACTGTTCACCAGCAAGTGGCATCTGGAGAAGGTAGTGCGCATGTAGTCATTGACTGTGAACCCACGCATCCTGCTGGATGCATCGTAGAGCTCGAAGAGTCGATCTAGCAGCGACTTCACGACGCCCCAGCCCTGTTGCGTCGTTGTGAACCGTGATCCAAAGGCTACCTTGCCATCTGGCTGGATCTCCAAGGCCGGCAGAAGGGAGAAGATATCGCGCCATAGACTGTCGAAGTCTTTGACAGCGCGCAGATTGCTGATTTGACGCTCAGATCCCAACCCCAGGACATCCCAGAAGCTAGAGGAAGTGAATAAGTTGTTCAAGATCACCACACTGCTCAAGGCGTATGTTCTGTCCGAGACACGCACTGCTTGTAGAACGCTTCTGCGGCTGTTCTCGTAGACTGAGAACAGCTCTTGGGTTCTGCCAGCTAACGCATACTTGGAGAGGCTCTTGCCAGTGCGGAACAGCCTCTCCAGAACTCGTCCGCGCAGCTGAACGTCGACCAAGGGGTGTTCGCTGATATGCGCAGCTTGTTTTGCAACGACTAGAGCGTACTGCAGGATGCGGATCTTAAATTGGCGTGTGTACTCTGAGTCCTCGATTACAATGTCGACGAGGGACTCAACCAGCCGCTCAAACGTTGCGATACACGGCTGCCGGTCTATTCGATCCACGAAGTGTAAGCATTTTGAGATATACCGCACCAGAGAGCGGAGCAAGTAGGCGATATTGCGATCCACATTCAGGTGTTGCTCTTCCATATCGATTTCTGGGGCAGCCTCCTCCAGCGTTTGCAGTGCTTCCAGAACGGCACTAGGGACACTCGCAATCTGCGACGCCACTTCTTCGTTCCAAGAAGCCCACTCCAGTACTTCTCCATTGAGATGGACCTGTATCCGACCGTTCTCGACGTCAAGGTCTCGTTTGGCAACAGCAAGGGCGTCGCTGAAATCTCCGCTTCCGATGAAGCTGTCTTGGTCGAAAACGATTCCTTCGTCTAAAGGTCGAACGTCAAAATCAACAGTGTAAGTAATACCAAACGATCCTAATCCTTGAAGGACGGGTCCCGAGATTTCGTCAGCTGCGTTGAGCTGCGGGTCGTCTACTGGGCTTTCCACCGATGGCCCAGGAGGTTGCTCATACTGGTATGTTTCAACATCAATTCTCCGCGCTCTCGCTTTGCGTGATCGATACTGAGGCTCCCCGGCATCATGCCGTGGAAAGCTTGGTCCGAGTTCCAAACCATTCGAACTATGTTCTCGGGCTGGAGTGGAAACCTCTTCTGCAGTCGGAGGTTCAGTGCGCAAGTACCTTTCCAGCTGATAGCCTGTTGCGCTTTGCTGACCGTGAGAACGAGCAATACTCTCAGTCAGGCGCTGCATCCGATGTTCGAAGGCAGACGTGCGATGACATGCATGGAATGTTGTTTCAAGGGTCTCGACTTGGGCATCACGGACCTTATGAGCTCGAAGAGGTTGTTTGAATGAGTTCCGTGTACGCTGGCCTCCATTCGTCCCTTGCACCGGACGGGTATCAGTGGGAATGGACTTGGCAAAGACGATCGGTTGGAGTCTGGTCTGTCGGACTCTTGCTGTTTGAGCTCGCCGTACGGTGATCTCACTGTTCTCGTGGTCTTTTCTAAGCGGCTCTCGAAACGTCTGCTGGCGCTTATTGCGCGATATCTCCAAGGGGGCGCGCTCAGCAGTAATATCAAGTTCGTCCTGCATTTGTACATCATCGTTGGTGACTGCTGAGCCCGCGTTGGGCACATCATGCAAGCGTATAGAGCCATCACGCCAAGCATGAAGTACCGAGCAGGCGTCTTCAGTGTCTGCTGCAGTAGCGAGCCGAATCCTTTTGTGGGTCGGTGAGTGCCGCCCACGGCCGCGATCCTGCCGCGTGCGTCGCAATGCAAGTCGAACGAATTGAGGCAATTGTCCACCAGTGCCAGAGGGCGAGGGACTTGGAGCGTCCGCGATGCTAAGGCTGACGGGACGGGGACGAGAGCGTTTTGGTTCTGGTGCATTTGAACGCCTTCTTCCTTGCTTCCCATTCCAGCCTCTACGCTCCCCAGAGAATGGTTGCTCCTTGCCAAAGGACCTCTGGTACGACTCAGTGATTCGAGCCTGTCCAAAGCGCTCTCTTGTCCTTTTCGTCCGATATGAGTGGGAAGATCCCGCGAGCATCGGGTCAACGAAGTCGTTCTCCATCAAATCTTCGTCTAAGGTCTCGCTTGGTGCCATTGGCAAGAGTCGTCCGGAGGGAAAGTCAAGGCGCTGTTGCTTCCAGACCGGGTTTCTCGGCTGCTCAGATTCTTGTGAATCGTCGCTATCGTCCGGCAAGGTTGACGCTACCGCTATGTCGTGATTGCTACGGCCTGTGGTAGTCACACGACGAGCGACTCCCTTTTGAGGCTCGAGTCTGCTCGGAGAAGAGCTGCTGCTCCGTCGCATCCTTGGCGCAGTCGATGACTGTCGTCTCCTTTGCGCTTTGAAATCTATCTTGAGCCATGATGCAGGCAAAACACCTCGAATCCGCTTCTGTTCACGCCGCAAACCGTGCCCCTCGTCCTCAGGGTCTGATTGCTGGTCTGAGCCAGATGCGAGCGAGATCACTGAGTGATCGCGTTGATGTCTTGATGCCTTTAATCGCCGTCTCAACATCCTCGGCTGCGAGTCCATGGAGGAGTCCACCTCTAATCCTTCGTGCCTCGCTTCAGAAGACACTTGTGGTGTTGGTAGAGGTGCCGGCGTGAAGCCCATCGGAAACTTGAATCGCGGAGCAATGGGGCTCACTACATCGAGTGTACCAGCTCGACTCGATGTCGAAGGAGGTGAAGGGGGAATATCGAACTCGTTATGCTGGAAATCAGTATGTCTTCCGATAGTACGCCGTGATGTAGCGCTCCTATTGGAAGATGCATTTCTGGTTTCTCGTCGCTTCGGCAAGTGATGACCAGATGCAGCTCTCGCGCTGGACGAGCTATTGGGTATGTCCACGGAGTGTGAATCAAGATCGCGATTGGCTTCTCGTCTGACGATCCTTTCTTCGGGTATAGGGCTTGACGACTGGAAGTTGTCTTGGCTTTGCGAATCTTGGTCTGCCTGAACGTGTTCATTTGTCTGGTCTTGTTCGATGAGCCTGACGGGTTTCACTCCCCTCGCGCGGCATTGTTGCAAATAACGTGCCCTCTCCAATTGATAAGGCTTGAGCTGCTCTGGCTTTCGGGAACGCAGATTGCGTCGCACCAGCGCAGCAGATGTTGAAACTTCGTCGGTGGCTGCATCTATCATACCACTTAAATCTCCCAGTCTATCGACAGCATCGTCTTGTGGTGATTGAGGAGCAACGGAGGGTCTTTGAGGCGAAACATCGCGTTCACTCAAAGGCGAAGAGAGGGAACCAGGCAACGGCAGTTGTGCCTGATCAGGCGCGGCAAAAAGGGTATTAAGACCGGGCAGAGAAGAGAAGCTATTTGCGTCGCTTTGTGGCGTCTTCTCACGAGGCGTGGAATATGATAAATCGGTGATGCGCAGCAATCCAGTCTCAGTTTCTTGTTTCGGCGGGGAATCTCCAGTCTCTCGGGTAGCCACTGACGGTGCGATGGAGGAGAATGCATTGTAAACTCTTCCTGAGAAGACCTGATTCATGGCCGCTTTCGACGGGCTTTGCTTTGCTGGTCTTGCCTTTCTTCCATAGCTCCGCGCCACCTGGACTTGCGGCTGAAGCCAAGGCTCATCGTGCTCACTAACTCCTCCTGAATCCAACTGCTCGAGCGAGGCGGATGGCACATGCTGCTGAGCCTGGATCTGCGACGACAGGCCTCCATCCGGACCATATTTCGCTCGTTTACGCGGTCTTTCCGGGCTAGGCCACTCGACTTCTAGGCTGAGCTCGTCCCCGTCTTCAGAATCTTCCACCTCGCCTCGAATCTGCCAGCGCTTCATTTGCTGTAATCTTCATGTCGTGTAGTATGGACGCAGTAGGTGATGTTGTGAGAGCAGATGGAGCGGTGATGCTCTGAAGATTGCTGGACGTGAGTTGACGCGATGGGACGCGTCTGGGATGAGCCCTGGACCCTGTAAGCTCTAATCCGAAACCGAAAAGCCTGTTGTCGTCACCAGCGCACGTGAGAGCAACATCAACCGTGAGGAGGAAGGCAATCGCTTTGCAACTTCTGACCGAGTCCTCCTGCACGAATCTTCAGTAATTTGCGGCTCCCGGAGCGATTGTTCAGCACTTACAGCCATGTCCCAGGATCCTCGCGCGCTCCTTCAGAAGGTAGGGGCCTCACATGTTCGCCTTTTGAAGGCTCAGTGATTGACAGGGCGTATCACAGGCAGACAAAGCGGCGCAATCTGCTGGCAGCGGGTTCTCTCTCTTCGGAGGAAAGACTGAGAAATACGAAAATGCGGTCGAGCTCTATACACAAGCCGCAAATGCGTTTCGAATGCAGAAAGCTGGCAAAGAGGCGGGACAGGCCTTCGAGCGGGCGGCTGCACTACAGTCAGGAAAGCTGAACGAGCCAGACGACGCTGCGAACACCCTGACCGAGGCGTATAAGTCATACCGAAAAGATGAGCCGGAGGAGGCTGCCCGAGTTTTGGAACAGGCGATCACTCATTACACGATGAAGGGCAACTTCCGAAGAGCTGCAACACATAAGCAGAATCTGGCGGAGCTCTACGAGGTTGAGCTGGGCGATCAAAAGCGAGCGATGGAGGCATACGAAACTGCTGCTGGATGGTACGAGAACGACAATGCAGAGCAGTAAGTTTCAAGCTATCTTCACTCCCTCGATTGCTGCAATCTAACATGACTTGTGCTCTCTCTCCAGACTTGCCAACAAGCTATACTTGAAACTCGCCGATATCTCCGCACTCGAGGGCGATTATATGAAAGCGATCTCCAACTACGAACGCATCGCCAAATCCGCCATCAACAACAACCTGATGAAGTGGTCGGTGAAAGAGTACTTTCTCAAAGCTGGCATTTGCCATCTCGCACAAAACGACACCGTGGCAACGAATCGAGCCCTCGAATCATATCGCGATCTTGATCCTGCATTTACACAGACCCGAGAACACCAGCTTCTAGTAGATCTGTCCGAGGCAGTAGAAGAAGGGGACGGAGAGAAGTTTGCCGACAAGTTGTTCCAATTTGACCAGATGTCGAAGTTGGACAAGTGGAAGACTACACTGCTCCTGCGGGTGAAGGAGCAGATCCAGGCGGCGGATGAGGACTTCGCGTGATCGGACTCGCGAAGGAATGCATGGTCTGGCGTCGTTGGCGTTTCGGGGAGCGCATCGATGCTACCTCTGCCTGGCTGTTTTAAGGCAACACATGCATGATTGCTGATGATATCGATCGAACGCATTGGATAGTGAGCGGCTTCCAGGCTGCGTCCTATCACTCATGATTTGTCTCCAGGTTCCTTCGCCGCGTTCTCTGTTGTGTTCTCTTGTGGCGTTTGGTCTTTCTGCGTGCGTCCGTCGGGCTCTTTTCCGAATAGCGCTTGCCGGATGCCCCAGGCAACACCGCCATTGCCACGTGTGCCGCCGTAGGACTTCTCTACTTCCGCTTTCGCTTCCTTGAAGTCGCTCGCGATGGCTCGACTGATCGCGTTCTCCTGGTCCGCTGGTCTTCTATGCTTCTCGCTAAAAGTCCCTTCTCTTTCTTCCTTCTGCTGCTGGAACGCTGGCTGCAAGGTGGTGTATGCTGAGCGGAAGTCAGTGAAGAATGTGCTGGAGAGATGGAGTTTGAACCGACCAGTAGCTACACCACATATTGTCGCGAGCGCAACTCCAGCAAAAGCTCCTCCTCCTCGCATTGTATGCGCGCGTGAAGGAATTGATTGTAATCGAAGCTCTGGAGACTCGTCAACGAAGTGCAAGATGCGGCAAAGGCGGGGGATCCGTGCGTCTTGATTACATGTGACAGACCTCACCTCTTGCGCCAGTGCACCTTGCGACATGATCGTAAATTCGACTTTCTTCCTATTAACCATGCTGACACAGACATGGTAGCACTGAAGGCTTACCAACGGGCTATCGGTGCCAGCAGGCTCTACTCTCGCGCCTACTCTCATAGTGCGAAAGGGACCAGTGCCAGCAAGCTTGACGTAGACAGGCTCTTATCCACGCCTACATGGTCCGTCGCGTCTCTGCTGCCTTCGGAAGGATCCAATCTCAAACCTCCCGAGATCAGCTCCAAGCAACTCCACCATCTCCTCCGCCTTTCAGCCCTCCCTCCACCAAAGGATGCAGAAGAAGAAAGGGAAATGCTCTCCATACTTTCGTCCCAGCTCCACTTTGTCAAGGATATCCAGCAGGTGGATACGAGCGGTACTGAACCACTTCAAAGCTTGAGAGATGAGACTCAGGAGGGAGAGAAAGAGGCGGAGTTAGGATTGAAGACAATGAAGAGCGCTTTGGAGGAAGAAGAGATCCGTGGGAAATATCACAGGAGGATCCGGAGGCGACGACAGATGAGCTCAGAGAGTAAGGATGCCGTGGACTGGGATGTTCTGGGTTCTGCTGTGCGAAGGGCTGGACGCTATTTCGTTGTAGAAGGAGGAAAAGATCGATGAAGCGATATCGGTCTTTGGTGGACACCTATCGCTGCGTTTGAATACCTTGTTTGGCTGCAAACGGTAGTGCGCGCATAGTGTTCTGGACTCTGACTTCCTCCGAACACGCATGGCTGCAAAGATGTATCGGTTTCCTCCTGACAAGCTTTGCGCCACGTTTTGAGCGCTACCTGATGACTCGAGCCGAGACAAGTAGTCAGCCACCTATCGGTTTTGACAAGGGAGGCGGATCGTTGCATACAACGATACGGCAAATATGCGAGCAGTGCTGCCTTGGTCCAGGAACTTCCGGGAGTCCATTTACTTGATCCATCAAGTCAGAGCCGAGGATGCCACTCTGGACCCCTTTATTGTGGCCAGTGATATTCTTGTTCCAGATACCTACACTTCGCCCAATCCGAGCTGCCTCAATATTCTGAATCTGGCATCTCAAACTTGAAGAGCGCGCCCTCTCCGCTTTCCTGGAGTCGACGGATGCTCTCTCGCCCTTCTTCTGTCGCTGCATTGTATACCGTGACCTCCGCGTCGCCTTTACCTTCCGCTCTCAGCCTTGCCTCTACTGCCTCTTGTATTGCCTGGAGCTGTTCTCGTTCAGCCATTTTCTGTTCCTCTTGCTTGCGGCGCTGTACTGGACGGGTTTTCTTGGCTCTACGCTTCTGGCTTTTGGAGAGCGGCTTCTCCTCCATGAGCTCGTCCCCTACTTGGCTTCTGTCGACTTGGTTGCCTCCACTGGCCTGGCTCGGACTCGCAGCTTGTTCTGCCTGCAGCACTGTCAGTCTCTCCATATTCCACACAAATCCCGAACACCCTTTACCTCGCGCCGTATCTTCTTCGCCGCCTTGGCATCCTTCTTCTCGCCCTGGCGCTGCTGTCCAAGTGCACCCAAAGCGTCCGCCTTGCGATCTTTGATCTTGTCGTGCACTCTCGCAGGATTCACCATCGCCTGGCCGGATGTCGTGAAGAAGGAGGTTAGTCTCTCTTTCTCGCAGCTGAAGTAAGCCTGGCCGCCGACGATGGTGCCGAGAATGTCGTATGTACAGCCTTGTATGGTCAACGTCTCCATCGTTTCGTGCTCGGGATGGAATTCCTCTCTCCCAAAGACGGCAATGAAGAGCCCTTTGTAGTGCGGTCCGAGGTCAGCAATCAGACCGTAGTTCATTTCGTGGCCCTCTAGGTCGAGGTAGTCTGCTCTGAACTTTTCAAAAGTCTCGCAGCAGATGTCGTAGAGTCGACGCGAGGCTCCTGCGCTCCCGGCGGCACTTGAGTTGCTCATGGTGGTGTTCTAATTGTAACTGTCTTGGAACATGTCAGCCTTGCGAGATGCTTTATGGTGGTGCAAGCAGGGCGGCAGTGGCGTAGCGGTTGTTGATCAAGGCAAAAGAGAGCGTGAAAGGAAAAGGGCTTTGATTGTGAGCAAACACGAGACGTAGCGGGGCGACTTCACTTCACAAGCCATCTTGTCACATGCAAACAAACGAGTCTCGTTAAAGAGAGCCAAGATCAGACGATGCAAGGGCGATTTGAAGACGAAATTGAAAATACTGGAAGTGTGAAAGCGTGAAGTTCCTGGTATCATTTCCCGCTAACTACCAGCACATAAGACTCGGAGAGCTTTTCTGAGCCCTCGTCCAGCCTCGAAGAACGCCATTGTCCATAATCTTGCCCGAAACGCTAAATGCTTATGACGAGGTGATGAGGTCCTTCTTGAGAGTACCAATGAACTGCTTCTTCTCGGCCGGGGTCTGGTAGGCACCGTGACCGAACTTGCTGGAGGTGTCGATCCATTTGAGCTCGACCTTCTCGAGCGCACGGCGGGAAGTGTGAACGAACATGGACTTGCGCAGGGTCATGACACGCTTCTTGACACCTGGCACGGAGCCCTTGAGAAGAACGAAGTCGTTCTTGACCTCACCATAGCGGACGAAACCACCCATACTGCAGATTGTTAGCTTCCGTGTGGTGAGTAAAGAATTTGCAACTCAAACTTACGGAGTGATCTGCTTCTTGCTGTGGTCAAAGTCGGTGGTGGCGTTACCCTCGTCGTTGCCTTTGCCGATGCGGTAGACCTTGTGGTTGACCGAGGTACGATGGTGGTAGCCCATCTGACCGGCACGGGCGACTGTCCATTGGACGTGGGATGGATGCCATGCTCCGATACAAGCAACCTTGCGGAGACCCTTGTGTGTCTTGCGAGGAAGCTTCTTGGTACCCCATCGGCTGGTGACACCCTGGAAACCATGACCCTTGGTGACGGCAATGCAGTCAATCATCTCGTCCTGCTCGAAGATGCTGTCGATCTCGACCGGCTTCTCGAAGAGGCCGTGGCCGAACTCCACCTTGTCAGCAATGGAGCCACCGTTGACCTGGATCTCCATGAGGTGGGCCTTCTTCTGCTTGAGTGGGGTCTTGCTGATCTGGGTGTGGGCGAGGACGCGGACGACGGTGCAGTACTTCTTGATGCGCTCGAGGTCGCGGGTGATGTTCTTGCCGCCGTCTTCGGCGTGCTTCTTTGCGTACTTGGTGAAGGCCTTCTTCTTGCTCTTGTACCAGTTCTTGTAGAATCGGCGCTTGATCTCGTCTGACAGGTACTCAGCCCAGACAGTAGTCAACGAGCGCAGGCCACGGGGGGTCTCGATGTAGCCAACCAGGCCAACAACGACCATCTGTGAGAATGTACGGATCAGCGCATGCCATGAATGGTATTGGCGCCAAGTCTCGTACCGGAGGAGTTTCGATGACCGTGGCGGCCTCGACGATCTCCTTCTTGTGCAGCTTCGCACCAGGGCGGTCCAAGTCGCGCACGATGGTGGTCATGCCGGCCTTGTAGCCCATGGCGGCGGTCAGGTGGACCGCCTTCTTCGGGTCGTCCTTGGGAAAGCTGTATACATGCAATTGTCAGCCATCAGAGCTCTTGTCGCATGTTTGCGTCCTGCCTTTGCCAGAGATCCAATGCAGATGTACGATGTAGGGTATTTTTACCTCTTGACCTTTCCACGGTGACGGGCGGCACGCTTGCGTGGCAGGAAGGCCAGCGAGCCATGGCGAGGAGCCTCGAACTTCCGGTGCGACATGGCTGGTAGTTCGTTGGGTTGGGAATCGGTTGTCTCGTGAACCTGCCAGAAGAGAAGTTCGACTTGCGACTTCCTGAGAACTTGGGTCGAATGTGCGTGCACGGACTCCCATCGGCGAGTCAAGGCTTGGCACCGATTGCTGGTCACGTGAAGTTCCAACACGGCCTCAGGCATCAACAAGAATTCGAACACTGACATGACCGCTGCCAATCCATATCTCCACGCGCTATGGCCGGCATTCCACAGGTACTGCTCTCCAGCAGATTTTGTCATACTCGCCATCGTCGTCAATTGTGTATGCAGCATCTGCCCATGGCCGCTGCGTGCAATCCATGTTCGCCGCCCTTCCGTCACCTCTCCGCCGATGCAGCATTGTAACAGGTACAGAAGCAATCTTATGCTCCTTTAGGTGCTTGAGAGGAAATCTTCCTAGGACCATGCACCTGCATCTCATCTTCTTCATCTCTTTCATGTTCTTCCCGCTCAGCTTCAACACTGCAAGCATCATGCGTCTTCACGCTCCTGTGCCGTGTCTGCTGGTCTGTATCCATCTATGCATCTCTTCACCTCACTCAACAACAGCAGTAGAAGCGCTCGTGGGAAGGAGGTTCCCCCGTCATGCGAATGACTTCACCTTCACTTTCACGCCGACGTCCTCGGCCTTCGTGGCCAACTCTTCGGGGCTGAACAATGGGTACACGCTCTCCATTAGCCAGAATGGCACGATCAACATTAGCGGCAACACAGCCATCGCCCTCGCGTCTGGTCTGAGGCGGTATCTGTTCAATGCTGTGCATGTGGACCTGTGGTGGTCCATTGGATCACGACTTCATCTTGCTCCTGCACGTCTCCCGTGTCTGAAATTCGACACACCACGGTCCCAGCACTGTATCTTGGCGATATCACTTCAGTATTGTTACGTTTAGCTACACAACAGCCTTCTGGACCTGAGAAGATTGGGAGCTGCAGATTGGCTGGATGGCTCTGCATGGCATCAATCTGCCTATGGCCTGGGTTGGCTATGAAAAGATTCTGGCGGAGATTCCATTGGGCAGGCTTCACTGATGCCGATGTTCCCAGCTTTTGACCTCATGGATAATACTAGACACGTCCTGGCAAACGCCTTCATACCTCGTTGCCAAAAGTTCCTACGAGCAGCTGACAGCTCTCTGAACGCTACATCTTCTCCCGCGACAGCTTCCGAAGCCGGCCATCAGATGTTTGCCCTATCGGAGGACTCAGACGCTATTCTCCTAGCTATAATGGAAAATGTGCAATCCAGTCTTCCGGCATGGATTGCTTCCGCGAGAGCTTGAGCGTCTCCAATCAGTGTCGTCGATCTAAAATCTGTCCAATCTTCAGCAGCGCAGAGTGCTAGCTTCTATGAGCATAATGCTCGGAAGCAAGTTTCACTGCTGGGGAGCACGGGGCGAGATCAGCGACTATGCTTCGAAGCAAATGGGGTGGACTACTCAAGTCGTACTACGTGCCAAGCTTGCAGGTGTTTATTGATCATACGCTGAACAGCTCAACTCAGAAAAGCGGAGAGAATGCAGCAGCACTGCAACGGAGCCTCATGACTTTTCGAGGAAGCTTGGCAGACTCAGACTTGGGGAGAAGAAGCACTTGGGGAGGAGTACAATGCGCCACGCCCCGGCGAGCTCCAGAGACAGGTCGTCAGAGTGGTTTAGCGCTGGCCTGATGTGTTTGGATATTCATGAATACACAACACATTACCCGAATGGTTAAACACATGCTGAAATACCTAATTCCGCTCCTTATTGCCAATGGAAATTGTCGGACGGCGGATCGCTCAGGAAATACCCCTTATGGCAGGTGCGAGACAAGAACGGTCTGAGGGCGGGTGGAGTCGACTCCCACCCAGGATCGTGTGTTTGACAGCTGCGACTTCCCGAAGGCGGATCGGCGACACAAACACACACACACGAGGCGCGTGGTCAGGATCCCACTCACACGCGTCCGTTCATGCTGCTTTCCGCGCAGAGACGCCTTATTTCGGACGGCAGCATTAGCGCTTGATGGAGACCGCAGCTTGATCATCACATCTCTTCTCGTTGGGGGTAGGTCTTGGCTGATCGACTGACGCTTTGCTTGCCACTCACTGTGGTCTTGTTTGGATGTGTGTCGTTTGCTGTGCGTCACGAGGGTACCACAAGCCATCATCATCTGCGTGCAGGGACAGTGGATAGACCTGCCCGATTTCGTCACGCATCCGTGCGCGCGCTGATCGGCTTGACTAAGGTAGAGCGCTGGCAGGGTAAGAGGGAGAAACGACCGTCGACCTCACCTCTTCCCGTTGTTGTTCGGAGACGCGATGTTGCTTGAGTGTGTCTTTTGACACCGCTGCTCCCGTGTCTCTCTCTCCCTTTATTCTGTCGGTGACACATTGGCACTGTAGTGTTCAAGCTGAGTGAGAGTCAGATACGTTCTGGAGTCACTGGGGTATAATCGTCTGCTTTGTTTCGAGTGCGCGTACCCGTGCAGCTGTGGACGAACCATCGATCCGGATTTTCTTTGCCTAGGCTGTGTGAGTCGGTCAGCATCATCAAACCCGATCATGGTTCGACGGAGCCAATAGAAATGAAGACAGAGTGTGATCGCAGGTCCCGAGCGTCTGGCGCTGCTTGGTGGGTTACTGCAGCAGCGCAGTAGCAGCGATGAGTTTTCCAGCGGAGATCCCGGACTCCAACCTACGCACGAGGAAGTTTTTTCGAAGAGCTGTGGAGAACACGAACGATAACGCAGTGCTGAACTGGTGTTGCACCGCCGTTTACACAGTCGGTGACGTGTAACATTCCACGAGCTCGGGTCTCCATGGCGAAGGAGGGCATGGTCCTGAATTTCCAAGAAAACAGCCCTGTGAGAGGTGGCCACGGCAGTGCGGCCGAGTGTTTGTTCGTGCATTGTGTGTTGGTGGCTGCACATTTCTTTCAGCGCGACCTCCTTGCATGAGCCAGAGGAGAGTTACCGTCGGAATGTCTCAAAGGGCACGCACACGCACAGCTGACGGATCGCCTGGCTGCTTCTTCGCCCAGCTGCCGTTTTCGGTACCCACCCAACAAAGAACAAAGAACTTGCCGTGGTCGACTCCGCAACAATCGCACGTTTGCGCAATGGAGTACGATTGACCCAAGCTCTTCATTGGACAAAGAAGTCCGCATGCCACAGAGCGGGCTTGGGGGCATAATAGGCACAAAGATTCTTTTCTCTTTCTCGCCACAATAATGGAATCGCTTGATTCGTCGTCACGCGCTTTCATTGGTACGCCGGGAGCTTTTCATTGTCAACGGGGAATGCCAGGGGAACAAGAAAGGACCCAGCCCTACCATCTCTTTCTCCATGTCGTCGTCGTCCACTGTCCGTCAGGATCCGTTGCCGTCGCTGCCAGCAACCCAGTGGGGCCATCAGCATCCTTCATCATACATACAACAAACGCCGTCTGCAAATGAGACTGGTCGCATCATCTTCACGAGACAACTGTGGCAGCGAACCATGCCAGACGGGAATCAAGGTGACCAAGCTGTCTTGAACAAGTCTCAAGTTCAGGAGGCACACATCGGTGGCAGGCATAACATCGCCGCCGCTCCCACTACCGCTGCTGCAAGCTCGAGTAGACGCACCTCGTCCTCTGTCTCGTCTCGCTCGCAGCGGCGCTCTCCCAGTCCAGCTCGATCAGGTTCCAAGACTCCATTGACGCCGGAAGAAAGCCCTCCTTTCAGGAGAAAGCGCAACGCAGACATTGTGGAGGAAGAAGACAAAGAGCTTGAGGGTGCTGAAGCCATCCCGAGTAGCAGTGACAGTGGTATTCACCTCTGCATCTGCCAGCCTGACCCGAAGATACCAAGACCGCGAAACGGTGAGTGCTGAACGCTTCCTTAAAGTTGTGCGCTGACTGACGGACGACTGCAGCATTCATTCTATACCGTCAGCATCATCAAGCGAACGTTGTCGCACAGAATCCAGGCCTCGCGAACCCAGAAATCTCAAAGATCATTGGCGAGCAGTGGCAGAATCAACCACCAGAAGTTAAGAACAAGTGGAAGGCACTGGCTGAGGAGGAAAAGATCCGCCACCAGCAGCAGTATCCTACTTACCGATACCAACCGAAACGAAGCGGTCGCCGTGGCAGCTTGTCGTCTGAGACTGCTGGAGAGAAGCCAAGGTGCACCAAGTGTGGCGGAAGAAGTACCTTGACGCCGTTAACTCCCTATCACGCCGTGTCATCGAACAATCCCAGCCCAGCGTCTGGTCCTCAGACGCCAGGTTCGGTTATTACACCTGTCTCACGGACGCTTCCAGTGCTAAGAGACCTCAGCTTGCAATCACCAGTAGCACGTCGCATGGGGAAACAATTCCCTAACAGCAACATGTCGCCTGCGCAGCATGGGCATCCAGATGACAGAGATGAGCTAGGCCCGTTGAGCCCAGAAACTAAGCGTCGCCGGTACAACAGCGACCATACACCTCCACTCCAGCGAGTGATGCCGCCCCGGTATGGGGCCGCTCCTCTCGGGCATGCCGTTGGGCCAGGTACGCCATTTCCATTCCCGCAGCCTCCGCCACACCCATATCCGCCAGGCGCAGCTGCTCCACGTCGAGAGAGTCTGCCTGGTTTGCGCGGTGTGGTGAGTCCTCCGGGCGCGATGGGCCCACCACCTCGACCTAGGCCAGGGTACCAGCAACATCGCCTGTCGCAAGGACATGTCCCGCACGACCGTTCTCTAACCCTCCCACCACTCCAGACCAGCAGTGCTGGGGGCGTTAGTGGTGCTGTGGCCACTGCAGGGGCTGGAAAGACAGCGAAAGAGCAGATCATGGCGTTGGACTTTCGATACAAGATTGGCATTCTTCGCAAGGTGGCGCCGCCAACGCCCGTGGAGAAGAGCGCGCTGCGTGGGCCATTTGTGGCAATCGAAGGGGACGACCCAGAGGCTGTGGAAGAGCTGGCTGGCTGGCTGAGCAAGACGCTGCGCAAAGGCGAGGACCTGGACGTAAAGTTGCTTGACGGTCCCACGCTGACAGCAGAAGGCGACAAAGAAATGCTCATGGCGCAGTATCATCGTCTCGCAGCGGAGTGGCTTGACAAGAGCCGCGAAATCAGAGAGTCGCTGGCTATCAAGGCCTCGTCGCCGACGGATTCGGTCATGGTGGACGCCGCGCCCAAGTCCAGCAGCCGCGAGATGGACGAGGACTACGATGAGAGCGATGACGGCTCTTCGTCTCGTGCCAGAGACAGCAGCAAGGAGGCGGACGGCGAGAAGATGGAGGTCGATGCAGCGTCCAAAGGCTCGGGCTCGGGCTCGGGCTCGGGCTCGGGGTCTGCTGCGAAGCCGCTGCGCATCATCGCCAACTACTCGCTGCATGCCAGCAACTACTTCGCGTGCCGCATCCGCATCGACGCGCACGATCCGTACGCGCCGAGCGATCATTGGCAGTGGACGGCGACGCAGTGGCGCGGCATCATCAGCCCGGACCTGACCATCTACCTGCGCGACGCCGTGGCCAGCGACACGGGCAAGCAGAGCGTCGACATCCTCAAGGAAGAAAACCTGATCGTGGCGAAGCGGACCAAGGTGGAGGGTCGAGAGGCGCAGGAGGTCGACACCTCGACGCGACGCCGCATCGGATTCGAGGTCAGCGAGTGGGTGTGGGAGTTTGGGCCCAAGGCGGATTGATGAGCGCGTGGAGCGGACTTGCGATTGATTGATTGATTGATTGATTGATTGATTGATTGATTGATTGATTGATTGATTGATTGATTCAAGTGTAGAGCCCGACACTCTACCACAGGTGCTACGGACTAGTTATGTTGACAAAATTCATTGCAGATGTTCCGTGTCACCACTAGATTCGCTCACTCTGCCCGGCCGAGGCTTACTAACACAATCGCCAATCGGACCCCGTACTTGCGGCTTTCACATGTCAGACAGTGACAGACACAGACCCTCACGTGTCGGCCTGCTCATCCTTTAGACTTTATGGTCACGATGACTGCCTGTCCCCAACCGCACCTCACCTGTCTCCCTCTCTCTTTGTTTCCCTCCCCTCTTTACGATTACGGTTAGAACCGCGCCCCTCTCGTCTCTTCTGCGCCGCCATCCTCCTTTCCTCCACGGGCTGCTGGCGGGCTAGTGGGCTCGGACTCTGACATCGGGAGTCTAGAGACCTTGTTTGACCGCGGATCTGTCACCGGCCTTGGTCTCCTTGCTTCTCAAGGGGTGGCCGAGCCTGTTCGGCTCTCGCGATGATAGGTAAGCACTTCTCACACCTCTCCGGAACGTCCTCTAATCAAAAGGACATGGTAGACCATATCCTCGGCCGTCCCTCAACCCGCTTTCGCAAATATCAAGTCTTCCTCGTCGTCCTGCTCTGGAGCCTCTACCTCTCCAAATTCCGCCGACATGGCCCGCCCGGCGTTCAACGGCTATCGCGATGGCTGTCCAGGCGTTTCACCATGCACCAGGCGCTCGTTGTCTTCTGCGTCTCCCTCTACGTATCGCGAAACTTTGCAAGAGTGGTGGGATTGGAATCGCCGGAGCCGCTAGCGAATCTGTATGACCGCAGTTTCTTCCGGGCAACATGGGTGACAACAGCGCTGGACGCCGGGTTCTGGACGGCCATGCACCTGCGTCCCGGTTGGCTCAAGCATACATGCGAGATCATATTCACTGTGTACTATCTCGTGTGTGCGGAGCAGGCAGATGAGCTGTGCAGGAGGGTAAGAGGAGACTTGAGCATCCAGCATTTGCGGGTCAGCTGGAACAAGCCAAATACACCAGTCCTGCGTTTCGTCACAGGCCTTATGAGACCGAAATTCATGAAGTACAAGCCGAGGCGCATCACGATCCCAAGGCCAAAAGCGAGCGATTACACGTTGCCTACCGAAGCATGGCTTTATTTTGATGGGCCGCGAGAAGAGTTGAAGAATCAGGACAAGATAGTTCTGGATATCCCCGGGGGCGGATTCGTGGCCATGGATCCGCGATGTCACGACGATAAGTTGATGGCATGGGCTGGGAAGTTGGGGATCCCGGTTCTTGCGCTGGACTACAAAAAGGCTCCAGAATATCCTTATCCATACGCTCTGTACGAGTGCTACGACGCCTATTATCAGCTGATAGCGACTCGTGGAACATGTATGGGCCTGTCCGGCGAGTGCATTCCGAGTATCATTGTCAGCGGTGATAGTGCCGGCGGCAATCTAGCTATTGGGATGACGCTGTTGCTTCTGGATGCCGAATCTCCACACTCAAATTGGGACCCCGCAGTCCGCGGGCACCAGACTCTTCCCGCCCCCGAAGCGGTAGTTGGGATATATCCCGCTTTAGAGATGAATATTGGAAATTGGATGTCTGACGAGCAACTGGCTTTGCTCAAGAAACCCAAGCAGAGAAGGGAAAACCGGAGAATCCTCGAGCGTAAGACGGAAGACTACAGACGATTGACACCAAACACACCTTATGCCTCAGACGACGAAGATAACGAAGACAGCGATAGAGCGGCAAAGCGCCCAGTCCAAGACGTGCCTGACATCTACGAAACACGCAGACCACGTACTCGCCTTGCAATGAGTAGCATGATCTCCTACTTCAACGACCGCATCATATCGCCCGAGATGCTGCGTGCAATGATCTTGCTTTATGTTGGAGAACACAACAAGCCTGACTTCGCAACCGATCACCTACTATCTCCACTGCGCGCCCCAGAAGCGCTCCTAGCCAAATTCCCACGCACCTTTCTGATGTGCGGCGAAAGGGATCCTCTGGTCGATGATACTGCCATCTTCGCCGGCAGACTCCGACAGGCGCACGGATTAGAATTCAAACGCCGTCAAGAACTCGGATTGGAGCCTGAGGATGCCGAATTCGATGACAAGAAGCATGTGGAGGTTGTCTTTGTGAATGGAGTCAGTCACGGCTTCTTACAGTTCGTCAGCGTTTTCCCGAGAGGATGGGACTATATCCATCACTGCAGCCGCTGGATGCGGACTGCTTTTGAAGAAAGTGACGCCGCCCAGGAGCCTGCCAGCAGTGTAGCGTCGAATGGTGGCGTAGGAGCAGATTACTTCAGCTACACCAAAGCACGGTCGAGGAGACCATCCGAAGGTTCTGGTGACGAAGGGCCGCTCGAGATTCCGTCCAAACTACGTATGACGCAGATACAGGGAGGTGCTACCAATGCTACCGCTGCGAAACGGAGGGTGGGCGGATCTGGCACGGGGAGAAACTCGACAGCGCGAGGAAGGATCCAGAGGAGTAGCAACATGTCTGGACGAAAGAGTCCGGCGGAAACGAGGAGTGCTCTCGTAGCTAAGCTGGGGAGCACTGAGGATCTGTTGGCTAGGAGGATGAAGGTGGTGACGGACGGGTTGACCGAGAGGCGGGAGGAGTGAGTTGTACATTTGCGTACAATAAAGAAATCTTGATGAAGAGCAAGTAATTGCCCTGGACGTCGATATACTACTGCCATGTGTACATGCATTCCAATGCACAACGAACTGTGATGCCAGTCCCACGTGACTGCTCCGAGGGGATGTATCTGCCTCAGGCATTACATCGATCTTGCCTCATATTCGTCTCCGCAGCCCCTTCCTTGCTTCGTCTCACACGCGCAGAAGTATCCGACGTTGCACCCCATATTATTGACCGCCCACAGTGCACCCATCTCTCGTCAAGTCCTCAATGCCGGGCATGGGAGCGTCTGCACGATCTCACTTCGTCTGATCTTATCTTATCTCATATAATCTCATCGCATCGCATCGCATCTCATCCCGCCGTCACCATTGATCCTTGTGTGAGCGCGGACGCGACGCGCGAACCAGAGACTTAAGTTGTACCAAGACAGGAGTGGCGCGGAGTAAAGCAGCATGCATTCAAGATGACCCACTCGTCCTCTCCCAGCAGGCCTTGTACGCCCGTGAAGCTGGAAGATACTCCCAGCAGGCCGGGTACGCCGGTGAAATTGGAAGATTCTCCCGCAACAACTCCAGAGCCAACACTCCCTGCACGGAAGCTATCCGCTGAGGCGTCCGACATCGTCTCCCAGTGGGACAACTTCATACCGCTCGGTTGCTTGTGCTTCTCTGAAGACCCGGAGGACACCCACAGTCAAGCCCTCGGCTCGTGGAGTGATATCTATCACCTTCCCGAGTCCGGCGACACTTTGTCGCACCTCTCCAGGCTGCTTGAACATGGCTGGATACGTCTACAAGTCGCTCACCGTCCATCAGACCGAGGACCTCTGCTGATTTTCAGGATTTATACACTTCGAAGCGATGTGGGGCAGATTTGTATTGATCGAAGCCGCCGACATTTACGGAGTGCACTTCAAGCCGTCATTCGCGAAATTGACGTATCACCAGAAACGTGGACCGGCGAGTACGACTCAGATACTGAGTGTGCTTTCGATCCACGAGCTACCCGAGACCAAGACGATCCGAGCTTGTTCTACGCGTTCAACAAGATACCCTCTCCCTCGCCATCTGCAATTGAAGTGGAGGACAAATATGGTCGTGAGGCGCTCAGTGATCTCTTGCATTTCGCTCCCTTCGGATTGGAGACCAATCTGTATCCTTACCAGCGCCGTTCCGCAGGAGAAATGCTGCGCCGGGAACTGGTCCCAAGGTCCATCGTAGACCCAAGATTCGAGCGGCGAGCTGCCCCTGATGGCTCCTTCTACTATTTCAATGCTAGAGAGATCCAATTCGTACGGATGCCGGCCAATTTCGAGATCTGCCGAGGAGGGATACTCGCGGAGACCATGGGTAACGGCAAGACTCTGATGTGCCTAGCACTGATTTTGGCAACCAAGAATCTGCCTCCCAGGATTCCGGTGAACTATTCATGGCCACACCCTCGACCGAGCGTGGGAAGTCTTGCAGAAATGGCCGCATCTGCGCTCAATCAAAATTCGTTTCCTTGGAAAGTCGAGCTAGATCGCATTCAGCAGGCGACTGGCACGACCATGACCGGTTGCTACCAGAGACTCAGCAATAACCCGGGCATCTACGATGTACCTATAACTCCATACAGATTCAATCGCACTACACGCACTCCACCGCCTCATCGTCTGACACTGGCGAATACTACTCTAATTGTGGTGCCACGCAATTTGTGCAATCAGTGGCAGTCTGAGATTACAAAGCACGTGGAGGCTGGTGCTTTGAAAGTCCTGATCATGGATGATCGTAACAAAGAACTACCATCACCGGACGAACTACGATCTTACGACATTGTGTTGTTCACCCGCAACCTATTCGACAGAGAGAACAAGCACGGCGAGGATGCACAAGGGCGCAAACTGCACAAAGCTCCCTTAAAGTGCCGCTGTTCTTACAAAGGCTCTGGCAGAGAACGCGACTGCACCTGTCTTCGAGAAGATATGCTGTACGACTCACCTTTGAAGCATCTGCATTTCAAAAGATTGGTCATAGATGAAGGACATTTCTTCTCCAGCAGTAGAACAAACACTGCGCTTGTCGCCAGGAAGCTAGTCACAGCCGATCACAGATGGATCGTGAGTGGCACTCCCGCACAGGATCTGCTAGGAGCTGAGGTACACTTATCGGCCAAATCAGATGCCAACCCACACGAGACCATCGAGGGTCTTATTGCACAGCAGCGATTCTTTAGCGAGAGAGACAAGGCTGGAGCCATCGACAGCCTAGGCTCCCTTATAACGAACTTTCTAGAGGTGGAGCCCTGGGTTTCGAACGGGGCGGCTTGGAAGGACTATATTTTCTGTCACGACGACCGCAAGCACACGTTCTCCGGGTTCTCGACTTGTTTGCAGAAGACACTTCACAACGTGGTGGTGAAGACAAGAGCTGAAGATGTGGAGAGAGACATCGAGCTTCCCCCGTTGCATCACGCTACAGTCCGCCTGGAGCCTTCGTTTTACGACAAGATCACTGCTAATCTGTTCGTACTGGTGTTGACAGCCAACTCTGTGACTTCGGAGCGAGTCGATGCGGATTTTCTTTTCCACAAAAACAGTGCTCAAGCGCGGGCTCGACTTGTGACGAATCTGCGACAAAGTGCATTCTTCTGGACAGGTTTCAGCGAATCAGACATTGAAGCAAGCTTGCGCGTGGGCAGAGGCTACCTACGTAAAGAAGGAACAAACTGCACAGAGGATGACAGAAAGCTCTTGAGTGAAGCTTTAGCATGCGCTGAGAGTGTTTTGGGGTCAAAGGGATGGCGATCCATGAGCAGATCTCAGGAGCTAGGCATGTTTGTTGAAAACTGGCCCGAAGACTGCGCTGAGCACTGGACCTTTGATGGCTCTACGCAGCCGTTGATGACTGGAATAACACAGCTTGCTCAAGCACAGAAATTTGTGGACGGCCGGTTGGACGAAGAAGATCCCGGAGAAGGCCTTGCTGGCGCTGGGATTAAGGCCTTGGTATCTACACGAGCTGTGCAAGCCCCGTCGAAGCCGAAAGTCAAATCGACAAAGCCTACTGTCACCAAGTCAGGAGTACCGGCTTCCAGCATCGAATCCTTTGATGCCAGATCGAAGTCGCGCAGACCATCATCGAGATCGAGACCGCAGAAGAAGGAACCGAAGGCAGCGAAGACCGTACCAGATGCCCACACTCAGAATTCCACGAACTCCCCTTCAAACTCTAGGCTCACCACCGACTCGCGCTATGCCCCGACCACGATCGTAGGCACTGCCTCGGCGAAGATGTCGTATCTTGTCTCTCAGATTCTGAAGTTCCAGAGAGAAGAGAAGATCCTTGTGTTTTACCAAGGCGATCACATTGCGTACTACCTCTCACAAGTACTTGACCTCGTGCAAGTCGAACATGAGATCTATGCAAAGTCACTAGACGCCAAACGCAAGTCCGAATACGTGGTGAACTTCAACAATGAAGACTCGCCGATTCGGGTACTGTTGATGGATGTTCGTCAAGCTGCTTATGGGTTGAATCTCTGCTGCGCATCACGAATCTATTTTGTCAATCCGGTCTGTAGGCCCAACGATGAAGCGCAAGCCATCAAGCGAGCGCACAGGATCGGCCAGACACGCCCGGTGTTTGTGGAGACGCTCGTGCTAAAGGGCAGTATGGAGGAGAAGATGTTTGAGAGGTCCAAGCGCATGACCAACGACGAACACCGTGAGGCGAAAACACTGGAAGACGATTACCAAATCAGGGAAATCATCCAGTCCGCACGGATTCTACCCCTAAAAGAGGAAGAGATGTCTGTGCGAGGTCAGATGGCGCCCATTGAGAAACCTGAGCCTCTGTGGGATCGAGCAGGCCGCCGCAACTATGCCGGCCAATGCGAGACAGGAAAGCGCAAACGGGACATTGTCTTGAAGGATGCCACCGACGCGGAGCAAGAAGGTCGGATTATTCTGGAAGATGAAGATGGAATTGGACTGCCTTTGGCGAAGAGACGTGCGACCATGCATTCGGCGTGAGACCATGGCGCAGGCAGCGACAGAACAGCTCCTGGTTACCTGTTGTCTTGACTTCTGACGGCAATCCAGATGCCTCCATAGGCTTCTATCTTGTCAGCGAAAACAACAAGATCCGCGTGTCCTAGAGCAGTCGACAGGACCACAGCTACTGAGTATCTGATATTTTGAGCGTAGTGCGTCATCGCAACGCATTTCTCGCCCCCAAGCTTCGATACCGTGTACAAGACCTTAGTGAGTGCACTTCAATGCTTCTGCTTTTCCCGTTGGATTGCCACCAGCTTGTCGAAGCGCATGTACGCGAACTGACCCTCGATGAAGGAGCTCGCAGTCCAGAGCCACCACAGTTGCGATCGGATGTTGATCGAATGCTTTGGGAGTTTGCGAGCGGCAAAGTAAAGCATTTCCGCACCATGTATGATAAACAGCCCAGCCAGAAGCCATGGTTGAATCGTCCAACTAAAGCCAGCGAATGCAGCCCCCAGGAATCGCTCTACGGGCCCTCCTGGAGCAAACCACCACCGCTGGGAATAGCCCAAGAAGGTCGCGGAGATGACGATGAATTCGAGCGCATAGAGTCCCGTTGGTGGCGCGTAGTCCTTGACCGTGACATCGGAGTGGCCCAGCGCAGCTCTGCATGCCTTGTCGAGCTCCACGACGCGCTCGCGCGCTTCCCGGTACGAGGACATGGCGGGCTCAAAGGGGATGCGGTAGGTTTTGCCATGGCACGACAGCGTCAGCCCCGCGAGGTCGACGTCCGCGGCCTGGCCGTCGTAGGCGCTGAGCGAGGAGAGCTTGGCGTAGTGTTGGAGATATCTTACGATCTGTATGGGATTAGTCAGTTAGTCAATCGCTCGAGATGTGTGTATGTGTGCACATGTGTGTGTGTGGCTGTGGGGAGACTGACGGAGTCGTGGTGGTCATTGTTCATGTGGGTGACGATGCGAGCCTTGGCAGCTTGGTCTTGAGCCTGTCGATCTGCCATTTCCAAGCTGGGTTATCCACGGATCTGTTGTGTGCCGTGAAGTGTGGAATGATGCATCACCAGTCTAGTATCCGTGCTGCCTGAGGCGTGCTGCCTGAGGTTTCGTCGGCGGGAAGGATGCCGAGGCCCGACCGAGGGATAATAGTTTTTCCACAGTGGAGGGTTCGATTGGGCTCTGACCACTCCGCCGGCGATTCCGTAAGATCGGTGTCGATTTCGTGAATCGCGCTGATTATCCAATCTCCACCGATGTTAGGTGGTCAGTAGAAAGCGCTTTAGATAATCGGTGTCGCTGTAAATAGCAATCCGGAGCCTTGGCGCTCTCGCGACTTTAGCTCCTTTAGTAGTATCTCTAGTATACTATCTCTTTAACTAATTACTACCTATTCACTACCTTTTAAGTACCCAAACGCGTCGAAATGCCTTAGTCGGTCGATAAGTAGAAGAAGGAGCGGTCTCGTAGTATATCGGAAGAGCTAGGAGCCGTAGTAGCGAGGAAGAGGACTAAGCTATTATACTAGACAACTAAGTTAGTAGAAGCCTTACTAGATACGCCTATTAAGCGTATAGTACGGTAGGCGGACGTTGCCTCGTTCTTAATTAGTGTCTTCAATAAGGTAGTAGAGTATCTATTAGAGGCATCGCTCTCGCCGGGAGCAATTGTGTGATTGCGTCTTGGCCGATCTGGAGACTGGAGTCTTGCCTGACCGGTCTGGAGATCGAACTCTCGACTGGCCGCTCTGGAGTGACATCAACCTGCGCGCCGCCTCCCTGTTCCTGTGGATCCCGTGCGGCGCGTTGTTCTACGCGTCCCATGCACAAGGCATCTTCCTCCCTTCCAAGCGACAGCTCATGCCCACGACTCCGTCCGTACGTGCCACATCCGCCCGCAAGAGCACACGGCTAGCCGCGATCCCTGCCCGATCTGGCATTGATATATATCCATACATGGACACCACTCCGGACCGCGTTGCGCGTATGCCGGCAGCAAAGCAAGGAACTTGACATCCTTACCAGCCACACTGCCACAGTTCTTCGAACCGATCTGCATCCCCGACGATCCTGTGCACGGTGCAGCCCCAACACGACAAGTGATACAAGGATTATCCATGCAGACTGTGGCGCCGGCCTGTGGAGCCAGCTCGTCCGCTCTACGTCAGAGCAGCAAGGTAAGGTGAATTGCCCTTTGCGGCGACATGAAACAGGTTTGGTACTTTGTCACGTTGGCCTAAGTGTGCCTCACTTGCACTCCTGCGACTTTCATCTCCTTCCTCTCCGTCGTCACTGTCTACCACCACGCACCTTGAACACAGTACCACCCCATCACCATGTCTTCGCAACAAGAAGAGAAGTCCGCATCGGCCCAGGGCGAGGGCAGTCTCGGCGTCAACGCAAACGCCTCAGGTCAAGCCCAAGCACAACAGAAGACCCAGAAGCGCACGCCGAAGAAGCTCGGCAAGAACCAGCAACAGCAACCAACGCCCGACCAGACAGACGAAGGGGATGCGGAAGGCGGCGCCGAAGAGCAGGCGGGAGCTGAAGCTGGAGCCGAGGCCGACGGCGAAGAAGATGCCCAAGAAGCGGAGCCACAGCAGGAATCTCGTCAACCATCCCGCCGTCGCCAGAGCCGTGGACGTGGACGTAGAGGCGGCAACCAGGAGAGCGACACTGAGTCCATTGCCCGTAGCGACGTGAGTGCTACTGGTGGTCGACGCCAGCGCCAGCGCCAGAAGAAGCAGCAGTCGCAGGCCAAGGGCTCTCAGGGCGGGCCTCTGGACGACATTACGGAGCAACTGCCAGGCGGAGAGCTCGTCAATCAGGCCGGCGATGTGGTTCAGAACACCGCGGGCAACGCAGTCAACCAAGTGGGCGACACGGCAGGCAAGGCACTCGGTGGATTGACTGGAGGCCAAGGCGGAGGAGAGGATGACAAGGCGGATGGCGGCGAACAGCTGCGTCTGCGATTGGAGTTGAACCTCGACATTGAGATCCAGCTCAAGGCAAAGATTCACGGTGACTTGACGCTTGGTCTGCTGAATTAGACGGCGGCGGCGGGGGCAGAAGCAGGCGCAGCTGGAGGAGTAATGCTGGTATTGCAGGAAATGTTTGTGCGTGGTATTTGTTTTGTAGGAAAGGCCGTACTGTACTCTCCGTAACTTGACGGGCATGCAACGTCTACTCTGATATTGAAGTATTCCGTTTTCTGAGCTCTATATCTCCAGTCTGTGAGTCTTCAGGCGCTCTTTTCCGTACTCACATCATTCTCACCACCGCTGCTGGACTCATGCCGTCTCCTTCCCCTGAACTGGTGTCGCAATGGTGATGTGACGGAAGTGGTCATCATTCCCCGAGCTGCCACACGAACACCTCACACTGCACACTGCGTGATTGTGACACGAAAGCATGTCGTCAACTAGCCTCCCCGCTGCCAAGTTTTGCGCCTCCAACCCAGCCTCCACTGCCAGGTTCACCGGGCGGAGCCTGAGCCAGGCGCCACAAGTCAATGGGAGATGAGACGGAATTCCAGCGCGACTCGCCACGAAACGTGGTCGGCGTAAGTGCATTGCATGAAATGACGTGTGGCGTGCAGGAGCCAGCCACAGGTGCACAGGGGGGAGTGGAGAGGCGCAGGGATGTTTCGGGTGATGAGGATATGGATATGCAGTCCAGCGTCAGAAGCTTCTGGGATCGTGGCAGAATCCGGTTTCTGTTGTGATGTGCGTGTGTGCTCTGCCCTGATGCGGTCGTCCCGTGCGAGTGGGCAGGGCCAGGCCAGAAAGCACCGCTCCCGTCTTGTGTCGTCTTGCTCTGCTCTGCTCTGCTGTGAAGATAGATTCGCTATTACTCCTTACCTACGCCCTGCTACAGCTACACTCACTCATTCGCCTCGACAATAACACCCTACACCGGAAATCTCAACCCGCCATAGGTAGGAAGCGCTCGCCGCCAATCGCCAACCGCCGCCCAAAATGCCCTTCAACGACGCCGGCCGCAAGAAGAACGTCGAAGTGCCGCAGCTGGAACACCTCTCGGAGGAAACGCTCAAGAACCCGCCCAAGCAACGGACGGTCCAGCAGCAGGAAAAGCAAGACAAACTGATCAAGCAAGAACGGCGCGAAGCGGGCATCGACACCGCGCGATCGCGCTCCGCCTCCCGCCGGGACCGCAGGAAGCGCATTCGTCGGGACATCCAGGACGGCAAATACATGCACACCGCGCCCCTCGAGGCCGTGGAGGAGGCCGATGCCAACCAGGACCTTCATGCCATGGGGCCGTTTGAGCGGATAGGGCCCGATAGCACGTCGATGGATGGGCCGGTGACGATGGCGAGGGCGATGAGGGGAGAGATTCCCGTGAGGGGGTCGAATCCCAATCAGCCGTATTATCTCAAGCCGGAGGAGCAGGAAGACGTGAGTCCTCACTCCTCATCCATTGCTTCTTACATACATACACACATGTACAGCAAAACTGACGGAAACAAATTTTTCCTCAAACAGAGCGCACTCAAAGACACCGAGGGTCTCAAACTCTCCCTAGAAGCCAACCTCGACATTGAAATCGAACTCAAAGCCTCCATTCGCGGCGACCTGACGCTATCACTATTGTAAGTTCTCTCTCTCTCGCTCTCTCTCTCACACAGATCTCATCCCCATTGAACCCCTTCACGTTCTTGAAATTGAAATCCGGCACCGAAAAAACAAAACAAAACAAAAGCAAAAAAGAAAAAGACAGAAGAAAGCAAAGAAAAAAAAAAAGGTATCATCCCCTGTTTTGTCGCATCAGTGCGTTCCGCAGCCGCAGCAGCAGTAGCATCATCCCCCCCAAGAGAAACCCCAGTGTGGAAATTGTCCGATTGTGCGATGAGGCTAGATCCCAAAAGTAACAGGTGTCCCAACAGTGCGTGAACGCGAGAAAACGGGAGCCGGGGCTGACGAAGTTCATCGTTCGACAGCGAATGAGGAAGAAGAACAACAGCACTGCAAACGACAGGACCATCTGTCTACTATTTCGCACCTGGGGGTCTTTCTTGGATGGTGCTTTCGCCGTTGGCCACTACCTACTACAACCTATCCATCCAATCCATCACTCCAACCTTATCTCACGCTCTACCCAACCCAACCAACGAAGAGTGTGAATGCGTGCTTACTTCTTCTTCTCCTGCGCAACAGTGAAGCGATGTAAATGCTTCGAATGGATGGAAAGAACAGAACGGACTTCACCACAGGGCACAGGGGGGAAATTGAGAAACGATGGAACGAATGATGAGAGAGAAAGGAGGGCGATCGATCTCGATCTCTCTCTCTCTCTCTCTCTCTTTCTCTCTGTCTGACTCTGGCCAGTATCTCGGCTGGCATTGCATTTGCACTTGTATGTATGCTATGGGTATCTCGTTTTGGGCGTCTGTTAAATCTACAGAAAAGCGGTACTTGCATGTTCCGTTCCGTTTCCGTTTCCATCCACAAGCCAGTCAATCGCCAACTGTGCATCAATGTGCATCAAAAAGAGGAAAAAGCGCTAATGGTCGCTGATGAAAAAAACTACAAGTACCTTCCTCTCCTCCTCGTGGTCATGGCCATGGTCATCTTGCCTTGCCATCGGGTCCAGGACTAGAACTAGGACCAGGGCTCGATCGAAAGACGACACGTCGAGTCCCGCCGCCTTTGCCGAGCTCACCAAAATACTTCTCGCGATCTTCTTTGGACTTCTCCGCCGAGGTGGCAGCCTTGGCCCGTTCAAGCATGCCCTCCACCCACTTGGCTTTATGGTCAGGCAGGCTGGCTTTCCTCCCGCTCGAGGGGCCCGCGAGCCCGACTTCTCCCATGCCCTGCCTACTAGACGGTCTCGACACGTTTGCAGTCCCAGGTCGCGAGCTTCCCGTCGAGGAAGACTTCGATGTAGAGTGGTACGCATTCGAGGGGGTGTTCCAATCAGCCACCGGTGTAATCCTACCGTCTCTCGTGCGTGGTCTCATTGGTCCCGAGCGTGGCAATTCTTCGTCGCTGTCTTTGCTGCCCGGACGAGCAGCGACATCGGTAGGTGTAGACGGAGTCTTTGCCCTAACCTCTGCAGGGCCACTAACCTTGCGAGCGTGGACATGAGGCATGGTCTGCACATCCAGCGCTCCTTCAGAGACGGTCCGACTGCCGTGGTGCTCCGCATATCCCCTGAGGAAGTCGGCCAAGTCCGCCCACCCACCGCCGACGCGAACCATGACTCTCTCGTTCTCTCCAACCAGGCGAACGAAGAGCTTGATGGGCTGTTCCTCGCGTCCAACTTGGATCAGATGGTATAGTCTGACCTCGGGTTCCACAGAGGTAGTGGGTCTCTTTGGTGACGCTTCTGCTGGAGCAATTGTCATACTCGCACCCTTGGACATGCGGGGTACCGTCGACTGCTTTGCTCGAGGTCCGACATATTCGCGTGGCTCGTTCAAGGGCACAGGAGTCTCAGCACCTGGCCGCGGCTTGAACCTGATACCTCCGGATAATTTGTCCAATACATCAGACACATGTCGGTCGATCTTGTCAATGTCGTCTTCCGCGTGCGTCTGGCGCGAATGCTTGTTGGTTTGCGACAAAAGGGGATCAGTCGTTCGGAGTGAGCGCTCGTCTTCGATTTTGAGCGCGCTCTTGCCCCGTCGCTTGGCCATGATAGCATTGAGTGGAGCAGGCGCTGATGCTTTCAGGCCTTCCGCAGGGCTTTCAGCGGTGGCGTCTGTGGGAGGGCCAGCTTGGGGCACTCCACGAAGGACAGTAGGTGTGTCGTGACCGGATACCGGAGCTGACAGACTGGAACGCCTGGGAGGGGTCGGGAAAGCCAGCATACCCTTGAACTCCATTGGATCGTTGCCCTCCAAAGTATTGTTAGTATCAGAAGATGCTCTAGGCGTCTGCGGGGGCGTCGGCCTTGGGGACGGGACGCTGTGTCTTGAGCTTCTAGGAACATCAATGCTCTTCAACTGCGATCGCGAGAAGATCTCGATCGAAGTCGTTGATGCTCGGTTGATCATTCGCTGCCGATCCATATCCGCTTCCCCTACTGGAGCCTCAGATTCTTCAAACTCCAGCTCCGGCGAAGGTGACGTAGCAAGTGGTGATGACGAGGATCTCGCCCGACCAGCAACGGCAGCACTTTGTCCTCGAGATCTGGGCGTTCCTGCCGTCGGTCGGGCTATGTCACTTGGCACTGACTTGTCAGCTCGACCGATGCGTGGAGCGACAGGACTCGTTTCATTTGACGGTGTTTGCGCAGGCCTCGACCGAGATGGTGGTGTTTTGGACCTGCTCGCAGAGAGCATGTCTAGGTACCCAGCAGGAATGTCAAGCTTCGGCATTTCCGGCAGACTTTCAGGGGTGGTCCGTGGTAGAGAGGCTGCTCTCTTCTGTGGACCGGCCCAAGGCATGGAGGGCTGAGCTGCTCTACTGGAGCGCGGTCTGCTCTGAGGCGTTGAAGGAAGACTCTGAACGAACATACGATCGAAAGCGTCTGCCTCCAGAGCAACCGAAGGCGCTTTCGTCTCAGGTCCAGACTCCGAGCCGGAGTTCGATAATTCGGCCTTGTGCATTTCCAGTCTCGGGCAGCGCTTTTCAGTTGGCGGCACGGGAGTGGTAGATCTAAGTGGCCAGTTATCTGGAAGTAGCTCTTCACCTGGCGAGTGAAACGGAGACGAGAGGCTAGTATTTCTGCGCGCGTTCGAACCAAGATCTCCTATTTGAGGATCGCCTTCGACGTTGTACTCTCGGATAGGACTTTCGCCGCGGATAATGGTGTGCTGAGAGCCTTGGGACTTCTTTACGGACCCCGCTTCCTTCTTGGCTTCTGCATTTGTGCCAGTCTGAGGGCTCTTGAGTTCGCCCCCTCTCGAGTCGCTGCTCGTTCCGTTTGCCGATACTGATGTGGGGAGTTCGCGCTGATTCGGCTCCCCATCCGCGCTTTGTATGGGAACAATCCTGCCGCTTGCTGTCCTCCTGATTGGGAGTTGCTCAGGACTTCGATCCTTCTTGAACAGCCGAGTGAACGCATTACTAGCGTGCTCAAAAGGCCGGACAGCAGGTGACCCCCTTGATCTGTTGAGCGAGTTGGTCTTCTCAATACCGTTCAGAAAAGCAGCACGTCTCTTTGCAACCTGCCCCATCCCGTCCTCCTTGGAGCTGGAATCGGAAGCTGGCGTGTTTCCTCTGCTTATGAAGGCTGCAGCAGTGGCAGAATCGGCGCGCTCGCCGACAATCTCGCCGCCGGGTGGAGGAAGTGCAGGATTCGACAACGAATCAAGCTTAGGATTTCTGCCCATCAGGGGTCGACCAGAGCCGTCGACGACGTGATCTCCTACATGAGATGCGGACTGCTTCGCCGTCTCATCGTTGTATTCTGCCTTATCCATCGAGGCCCTCATTACGGCATCATGATCCAAGATCGGATCCTCCAGCTCTGACATAGGGACAGCATGCTCGGGCTGACCGACAACCGATCGTTTGCTAGCAACAGGCAAAGCTGCTGGTGGCAGCCCAACACTAGCTCTTCTCGCGTGCCACTCATTTTCGAGGACCTTGCGTTCGGCTTGTACGACCCAGGAACCATACGCAGTCTCTAGCGACTCAAAGTCATCTATCCAGGCATCCGGCACCGTGTCGTCCCTGCCTTCCAGATCATTCAAGAACCGATCCAGCCTCCGACCCAGGCTACCCACTTGTTGTTCAATCACAGCCTTCATCTGCAACATTGTCTTGCGGTCAAAGCTGGCATGGTTCTGTCCAGGTCCAGAAGTAATCGATACTGCTATCGATGCCCAGCCGTGATCCAAATCAGTGCGAGCCCGCTTCAAGTCGCGGAGATATCTCGGTGCGCTTCGCAGTACCATTAGACGTGTAGTCCATAGGTCAAGCAGTCGATTTAGCTGGGTGATGTATGGAAGCGCTTGAAGAATTGTCGCCGTCACAAGCGCCATGAAATCGTCCAATCTCTTGATCTCTGCGGATGGAGTCCTCTCACCAACCATGCCATTTCTGGAAGAGGCGCGAGAGTCCGCGCGGTAATGTGAAACCAGAACATATTCCTTCAGCTCTTCTACATCGATCTGATCCAGCTGTTGTCCAATTTCGTCCGCACGTTTCTCGTACATCTCCACTGTGCAAGCAGGCAGAGAGCCCCAGTACTCTTCTTCCCCGTCAGAGCCTTCTGTTTCGTCCTCTGCGGTGGCAATGGTGTTCTGCGAAAGCATGCTGGTAAACGTGACGGTCGACACGCGCGTCTTCCTGCGGGCTGGTTCTGGGACGTCGAAGGTGCCTGACCACTCCCAACTCTGCATCTCGCGAGTCCAGTTGCGGAGGTCCAAGCAGGTTTGCGCGGCCTTCGCTCCCAGAGCACGCTCAGAGACGGACGAGTGCCGGACACTAGCAAACAGGGCGTCGGAAGGGCTCATGGTGTCCGAGTCTGTCACGAAAGCGCGCAGTGTCGAGGTCGGCGAGAGGTGCCGCAGCAGGGGATCATTGTAGTCACGGGCATGTTGCCTGACAGGCGAGCGTGAAACGGTTCGCGAATGCTGATGCCTGGGCTCGTGGTGGTTGATGCGGCCCTTGATGGGAGATGGAAGCCGTGGCGGATTTGCAAAAGGATGGTCCATGTCGGGGGCGCCGAGCTGCCGTCGTGTTGAGGGGGAGAAGAGGGTTGGTGCTACATTGGGGAGATGTGTTGGTGCAGGAAAGGCGAAGACATGGCGGTGTTGCTGTCTTGTCTCGATATCCCGGTCGTCCCAGATGCAGGTTTGGGGGCTGGTCGATGTCTTAGATCTCGGGCCTGACTGGGAAGATGGGATGCCAGTGCAGACGGCACAGAGTATCTAGAATAATGTCATAAGTCAGGTGAAGTGGATTTGAATGAGTCGAGGTACAAATCCAATGTGTTGCTTTCGGCAGCGGCAAGCAAACGCGTGCAGCTGAGTCCGAAAGTCGGTTCGCGTAGATCCGGCACATGCGCAACACTGGGCAGCTGCACCCGCCCGATCCATCAAATTATCATGGAGTTTTCTCCGCGACTGGCCTCGGCATCACACAGCATCCGGCCAATAATGACGGAGAGCAGCAGCGGTACCAGCAGTGCAGCTCTACTCTCCCGATGCACGGGGACGAGAAACTTGGAAGGTTTGCAGTGGAAGTGCCAGATCTGGGTGCATAGCCATGACAGAGAAAGTAAGTTCGACTACGATCCGCGCGAACGGAGCACTGAGGGAACATCTGCAGGCTAATCCAACCCCCTGGGCCCCTGTCATCTGCCAGGTGGCACAGTAGTCATCCTCTTGCCACAATACTCAAGATGAATCGAGTGGGTGGACATCGATGCCCAACAGCGAGTCATTGCATGCAGCCTCTTGTGTCTGGACTCTTCGTGCATCTCCAAACAGCACACAGCGACCAGATTCTTAGGCAGCCGTTTCGTACACCCGATACCTGGGGCTACGAAAGGAGAAGAAGAACGACCTGACTAATAACATCTCCGTATCACCATGTCCAGATCCAGCTGCAGAGAACAACTTCACTTCGACCCACTGGACACAGCGCTGGCGCCACTGCTTCTCCAGGCACTCACAATCAGATCTACAATGTGGTCCATGCCTTTGCCGTTCTTCACCTGCGCAAAGATCGTCGGTCCGCCCTCCCTGATCGAAACCGTCAGCACTGTCCAACAGTGAGGCATTCTGCTGAACCACTCACCTGATCTTCCTGGCATCCCGATCCATGACATTCAGGTCGGCCCCAATGAGCTCCGCAAGATCCGTCTTGTTGACAATCAAAAGATCGCTTTGCGTGATCCCTGGTCCGCCCTTCCTCGGAATCTTATCGCCTCCGCTAACATCGATCACGTAGATAATGTAGTCTGCCAGCTCCCGGGAGTAGTTCGCGGCGAGATTATCACCGCCACTCTCTATGAGCAGCATATCCGTATTGAACTCTCGGTGCAGGTCGGTCAAGGCCGCGAGATTCGCCGAGATATCCTCTCTTACCGCAGCATGAGGGCACCCTCCTGTTTCTATTGCTCGGATCCGTTCGGCCGGCAGCGCTTTGTGTTTCGTAAGGAACTCGCAGTCTTCGCGGGTGAAGATGTCGTTCGTTACGGCGGCAATGTTGTACTTGTCGCGAAGAGCGTTGCAAAGGGCAAGCATCAACGCCGTCTTGCCGGATCCCACAGGACTGAGCCGCAAGGGGTCAGCATCATTCATATGTGCAAGGCCAAAATGAGGAAGCAATAGAGCAGCAGGAAAAGGACATACCCACCAATTCCTATGGTGAATGCTCGCTCTCTCCAGTCTCTGCCTTCGATGATGGGCATCTCTCGAGCCAGGAAGGAGCCAGGACCGTCCAGAATCTTATGTGAGTGTCCATGGTCAGCTGCAGCGTGAGAGTGGGATGCGCCATCGTGTGAGTGCCCGTGGGAAGACATATTGCAGTGTTTATGTTATGGTCTTGGAGCTCTTACCAGTCATGTACTAGGTAGGAAGCTCAAGGTATTTATTTGTGAGGGGTCCACTTTGGTGCGCCTGCGGGGTGCTTCTACCTAGTACCTAGGTTTCCAGGTTCCAATTACCTCCTATCATTACCTTACCATAATTACAGGGCACTCCCCACAGGATTGCATGATCAATGGTGCGACCCGCTTGTCAAGCGGAAAGATATCTCAAGGCATTTCAAGATGAAAGGAAGCCAAATGCTATGGGGCATGATGATCTCGCCTTAGTCTCTTGCGCGGCTGAATCGTAAACAAATCTGAAAGCGAAGAACGCTATACAACTCTTGCATTCGAGGGAATCGATCGCGAGCGCCGAAATCCAGTCAGCGTACAGTACATATGAAAAGACTGCTTTCAGATAGCAGCTCCTGAGTCCGTCCTGTCGATCGGAGTACTTCTCGCGAGCCTACTCTCACCCAGCACATTTCCGTCTCGAAATCTCCTTCTCCAAGACTTATTTGCCCTCAATCTTGTCCGCCACCTTCTCAACGGCCTGCTCCAGATTCTTTCCTTCCTGCTTGGCCGCCTTCTCGGCCTCCGAACCAACGCTGTCTCCCTTTAAGCTCTTCTGGTACATCAGGACTCTGCTGACTTGTGTCGCGCCCACGCAGAACAGCAAGAAATTGACACTGGCCAAGAACAGGTTGCGGGGTTTGATGACGAAGCACCATCGGGTCCAGATCAGGCCAGTGGCCATGAGCGCGCCGTTTTGAGAGATGGAGAGCTGGTCGGCGGGTCTGGCGAAGTCGGCGGCACCGGCGAGGACGAGGCCCCACTGTGAAGCAATAGAATGTTAGAATTTTTGTAGAGCAACAAGACGTGAGGCCGGGCCAGTATGTGGAGGTTCCCGGTCTTCAATGGGGAGTATTCGTTACCTTCATGATGGGGGCCCAAAAGTGAACGGTCTTGGGGCCAACCGGCGAGTTCCAGAGCTTGCTAAAGGCCGACTCATTCTTGGTCGCTTCGCCTGCCTCCGCTGCTGTGGACTGTGCTCTCCTTTGTGCGAATCTGAGGTTGGAGTTGATGTTCTGTCGGAACGCCGGGCGGAGAGCCTGGGTGGCCCGGAGACCAAATCGTGCGGACATTGCGGCGCCTTGGATGTCTGGTCTGGCTCGAATATTGCTTTGTCCGCAAGGTGGATGTACTTGCCGGATGAGAGGAGAGATGTCGGCGGTCAATGAACGCAGGTAGAGGTCGATAGGTGATGGAGCGGAGCAAGCCCGCCGCGCTAAGAACCGAGCGGAGTTGACGTTCTTGGGCCGATGTTTCTGCTGACTACACATCCTCAGGCACCTCCAATACATCTGCCTTTGAATCTGCGCACGTAACCGCGTCCTTCACAGTTGTCTGCGTCCTTTGTTCCAGATCGTTGTCCCCTTCTGCGTCCAAATGGCCGGTGCTTTCTCCAAAGCGCTCAAGGAGCTGCGGTTCCTCCACTGCCAGACCAGCGAACACTCCAATGCCGTCAGGTACGATCCAGAGGCGACCTCCAGAGCTTCAATGGGCCCGGAATCTCGCATCTAACACGTTCACCATCTCAGATCATTCCTCACACGCTCATATCCGACGATGAAGAAGAACAACCCACACACACCAATCATGATCCGAGAAGCACTGGGAATTGAGCCGAGAGTATACGCGCGATACGAGTTTGGACGAGAAAAGGTGGCAGATTTGAAGGGTAGGCTACATCGACAAGTTGCGCAGGCGCGACACTGACAATGTGGATGTAGGACTCGACGATAAAGCGATCGAGGACAAGGTCTCGTCCCTGGTGCAGGGCGAGGCATAAGAGCACCAAGAAAGCATAGACCAAGAAACTTGTCCCTTCGTGAGGGCCAATCGAATGCTTCATGTACATTTGTACAATACTCAAACAAGAAACGAGAAGGAGCAAAAGACATGATACGATACCCAAAAACACTGGAAATACAGTGACTGATGCCGACGCTGAACTGTCTCCTTCTGACATTTCCACCTAGGGCTATGCGCTCACCTCGCCGAATCGATACTGGGCCCAACTCATGCTCCCTTCAGGCAAGGTCCACAATTGCTTGCCCTTATCCTCTCTCGCCGCACCTGCTCCGATGTATATGGGCAGCAAATGATCAAAAGACGGATGTGCCTTTCTAGCATCCTTGCGCTTCATCAATTCCGCCATGGCCTTTTGTCTACTCTCAGGCGGCTGCTCCACGGCCTCTTTCAATGCTTCATCGAAGCTGTACGTATAGTCCAAGGCTCCAGGCTGCCCCAGTGTGCGGAACATGTCCCGAAGATTGTGGACTGCCATTCCTGAAACAATGATCTGGATTCCTTCGTCGCGTAGCGAAGAGACGGCCTGACCAAGAGCGTAGTGCATATCAGGATCTTCGATATCGAACAAGGAGACTTGAACAATGGGCACGTTGAGTGGATTCTTCTCCGGATTGAAAGCACACATGAAAGATGCCCAGACCCCGTGGTCGAGTCCCCTGCGAACGCCCTCGGCCTTGATGCCAGAATCATGCAGATGGCTAAGGACCTTTTCTGCAAGCTCCGGTGAGCCCTTGTTGGGGTATTGAAACTCATAGTAGTGCGCCGGGAAGCCGTAAAAGTCGTAGATTAGGCCCATGTTTTCCGCTGTATTGACCTCTATTGTGTCCTTGTAGCCTTGCCAGTGTGCGGAGAAAACGACGACCGCTTTGGGCTTGACCTGCTGGGTGATCTCCTTGCCGATTTCCTGGAGCTTAGCATACGCTGGATGGTGAGTCTCTTCCATGATGTTGGGTCCCCCGTGAGACAGGAAGTATACTGGAGTCCTGCCCATGGTGCTGTTGGTTGGCAGACCTTGGCTCTGAGAAATATTGAATGTCTTTCGAGCAAGCGTTCCTGTTGTTGTGTTTGAAGAAGTTCGAATGCCTGTGCTTGCGCGAGTGAACACTCTCTTGATGCCACAAGACAGCTTGTCTGAAAGTAGGAGTGTTGGTATAAACGCAATCGTGAGGCCGACGAGTAAGATTACAATCCAAGGCGGAGATCGAGGCATGAGCGGAGGAGACTGTCCTCATAAGTTATATCGCTCAAAAGGTCGCGTAGCCAGTTCATATGCTTTGTCAGATCGCATTGTCCATTTCACCGAATATTACGATCTCACGCTAAGTACTCGGAAGCGATATGTCTTAGAGCCTAGCTTCTCTTTACTAATCACGGCTTGATTCCGTACTTTGACGACATCACAGCTAACCTCAAGATCGTGAGTCCGAAGACCGCTGCACACACCACAACCTACACAAAGACATTGGCAACCTCATATTCACAATGTCGAGTGCAGCGGCATTAGTGGTGCCCGCACTGAAGCGACACACCTCTACGGTCATCGTAGCGCACGGTCTAGGAGACAGGTGAAGCCTCCTTCGCCAATTGCTTCTTACTTCCGAAGGTAATAGCTTACCCATTGAACAGCGGTGCAGGATGGATGCCCTTGGCCGAGGAATACCGTCGACGATCACTCTTCCCTGAGACCAAATTTGTCTTCCCCAACGCACCAAACATCCCCATCACGGTCAACATGGGCATGCGAATGCCCGGGTGGTACGACATTGCTGATTTCGGAGACCTCGCCAACCGCAGCGATGACGAGGCGGGCGTTTTGAGGTCGCAAAAAGTCTTCCACACATTGATTGAGGAGGAAATCAAGAATGGGATCTCAACCGATCGGATAGTGCTTGGTGGCTTCAGTCAGGGCGGCGCAATGAGCCTGATGGCGGGGATCACGAATCCAACGAAGTTGGGCGGCATCTTTGGCTTGTCTTGCTACCTGCTGCTACAAGGCAAGATCAGGGATCTCGTACCCAAAGATTCGCCAAACCAGAAGACTCCCATTTTCATGGGACACGGCGATGCCGATCCAGTGGTGCAGTATCAGTGGGGCAAAATAACGGCGGACAAGCTGAAGGAGTGGGGTTGGAATGTGGACTTCCGGACGTACAGAGGCTTGCCGCACAACGCTGCTCAAGAAGAGATTGATGACCTCGCCGAGTACTTGAAGGCACGGATACCGGAGCTGGGAGACAAGGAGAAGGGTAGCGGGAGTCTATGACTAGAGTGGGTGAAGGATGGCCTCAGACGTGAGCCGCATGACGCCGGGGAAATAAAGTTGGTTTTTGGGGTCGTTGCGCTATGGCTACTTTGGGTTCTCACGGTGGCGGTCTGGAGAAGATGGAGGCATTGGTGACTGTGTGGTAAAGATAGAAGAGTATGCCTTGTGATCAAACCCTGGCCGGCTCCAGATGCAATGAACTCGATCCACCTGATCTGCATGACTCTTCGACTACACTCCAGTCTTCTGGTCGTTGTCCATTCACGTCTTCTGCAGCATCTACCGTTAACGAAGCCCGGTCTTCCCTTCCACTGGAGCCCATTCCGCTATATCTGAACGGGCCGTCCTCTTCAGGATCATCTTGCCACACGTCGTCGGTCACTTCCACTTCCTGTGCTAGCTCGCCTATGTCTTCGAACTAAAAATCCGGTATCATGATCCATTACATGCGTACAGTCAGCTTCCGAAAAATCACCAAGTCCACATCCGAACCAGAATCTCTCTCCGCCAGGTCAAGGCGGTCTGAGGGTACATGTGGCTTCCCGTGGTTTTCGATCCTGGTTGAAAGCCTATGGGGAACTCTCGGTCGTGTGCGCCCATGAGAGAAGCTACAAGCTAGATCTAGACGTACCCAAGATTCGAGTGTATATTGGCGTTTGCTACGATTCGTACAGGCTGCATGTGAAGAGGCCTGTGCACAAGACTCGACCCAGCGCCCTGGCTTGCCAAGGCATCTCACGTTGGAAGTTTGATGGCTGTGCCAACAGAGAGTTATCTGTTCATTCATGATCTTTTTCGCGCGGATGGAGATGGTCAACGTGATCAGAAGACAGCTGCATCGCATGCGTGGCTCTGTATTGTCACATGAACGCCATGCGGGGATGAAGTTTTGCAACGACATTCGCGCCATCTATATACCATCTAGCAGCTTGCATATTTGGTAGAGGTAATTTCTAGTACTGAAGGGACTTCGTGCCCCGCAAAAGCACTGGTGACATGCTCAAGTTCTTCTGCCTCCACGACTCATCGAGAGCCATTCACCGAGCAAGATTTTGCGGCGGCTGAGTCGCAGGTCCCTCGGGAGTGACATAGGCCTTTGTCATGCCGCCATCGACGACGAAATCGGTGCCATTGACGAAGCTGCTCTCGTCACTCGCAAGGAATAATACAGCCTGTGCCTGTTCGATCGCCTCGCCGAAGCGCCCGGTTGGAAAGTGTACCTCGCGGCGATGACGCTTTGCCTGGTCGTCGCCGAGCCAGTCCTGAAGCAGAGGAGTGTTGAGCGGAGCTGGACAGAGAGCGTTGAAGCGGAAGCCCTCACGTGCGTGCACAATGGCCAGCTCGCGGGTCATGGCAAGTACTGCGCCCTTCGAAGCCGTATACGCAAGCTGGGGGGTAGCAGAGCCGACAAGAGCGACAACGGAGGCAGTGTTGATTATGCTACCCTTTGTCTTCTTGTGCTTGCGCAGCGACAGAACCGCGTGCTTGCTTCCAAACCAAACGCCCTTGACGTTGATGTTGTGGGTGAGGTCCCAGATCTTCTCAGGTGTATCCACGGCATCTATAGTGATTGTCAGTCCATGGCATTCGACCCAGCGTGCAGGCCACCCATCTTACCTGCGTCATCACCGTGCATAATGCCAGCGTTGTTGAAGATGATGTCGAGACCTCCCCAGGCATCAAGCTTCTCGACCGCAGCTTGCACTTGTGCTTCCTTGGACACATCGACCTTGGCAACCTCAACCTTGCCACTGGCATTGGGTGCCTTCTCCTTGGCGATTGTCAATGCCTTCTCCAGAGCTGGTTCGGAAATGTCGGTCATGAGAACGTTGGCACCCTCGCGCAGGAAGAGGATGGTGGTCTCAAGACCGATGCCGCTGTCGTCGCAGTCAGTTCTCGGTCCACCGCGAAGCCGGTCGTGAGGAGTGTGCTATCTACACTCACCCTCCCGCGCCGGTGATGATGGCATTCTTGCCCGCGAGGCGACCGAGCTGCTGAGTCCTGGAGTGGCGCATCAGTCGACGCTCGATGAATATTTTGCAAACATCTGCGCCACGCACATGCTGTTGAAGCTTCCGCGACTTCCTAAAACGGCAAAAGAATCCCTTCACAAAAGAAGAGATGTACTTGGTGACGGCGTCGTGAAGACTCGCGGTTTTCGATGGAGGCGGGATGAGGTGTGAGAGGAGACAGTGGCAGGGTGAGGAAGACGATTTGAGGGAGTTCAACGGGTGATGTTGTCTCGCTGTCTTACTCATGGAATGGGCAGGAAGTCGGGAGCCCCTCGGTCACACCGCCGATAAGGCCAAGCAGGCGTCATTCCACATGGCTGGTGTCCCCATATCCCTGAGCAGCACCACTGCCGGCCTGAAGTGTGGAGACGTGTGCGTGCCGGAGTGCGATATCGCGTAGATGGACTCCTCAAGAGCGGCGCCCATTGAGTGCATTCAGGTCCATTGCGACAACGCGTAGAGCGAAGGCCAGATGGGCGAATCACAGCTGTGCTTGCAGAGGTTCAAGTTCAAGTCAAGAGGACGGGAGTTAATCCTGCAGCTGCAACTCGGCCCAGAGGGGCAAAGCCACGCGGGAGGATAGCGCTAGCAACAGATCTGCTGCTATCTCGAAAGCACTGGGCGGTGTCGTCGTCTTCACGCCGAAGTAATCTCTACCAACCCACTCATCCTCCCTCTTCAACACCACCACAACACCAGGTTGTACTCAACTTACAACAGCATCAACACCCTTTCTCTCCGTCTCCCTTCCGCTTGCCGTAGCGACTCACGCGACCAGTCCCGCGACCATGGCCATCAGCGACGACCCCGCCCAGCTCGAGTATGCCGACCTGCAAGAGTTGCTGAAGGGCGATATCGCCGTCAAGGTCGCCGGCGTAGACATTGACGGCCAGTGTCGCGGCAAACTCATGTCCAAGAAGAAGTTCTTCTCCATTGCGAAGTCTGGCTTCGGCTTCTGCTCGGTGATATTTGGCTGGGACATGCACGACCAGACTTACTTCAGGGAATTAAAGATCAGCAACGCAGAGAACGGTTACAGAGACATCACGGCAGAGATAGATCTGAGCAGCTTCAGACGCATTCCGTGGGAGAATAATGTTCCCTTCTTCTTATGCAGCTTCCGTCAGCCCGAGGGTGGCAGCTTGAGCGCATGCCCGCGAAGCTTGCTGGAGAGGGCCGTAGAGAAGATAGACAAGAAGGGCATGGGCGCATTGGCAGGAGGTTAGTGTTTTCAAGATCGTCAGGCGAACTGATGAATCCGATGGGTTGCTTGTTCAGAGGTCCTCGCAACGACAAAACAGCTAACATGCACTCCCATCTCTTCAGCCGAGTACGAGTTCTTCACCTTCCGGGCGCCCTCAAACACCCATCCAGCACCGAGCTCAAACGAACGCAACTCTAGCGCGACAGCGACTTTTCTACAGAACAACCCCGCGCATCAGCTTCCCAGCTTGGAAGAGGGCATGTTCGGCTATTCTCTCACAAGGCCCACACATAATCAGGAATGGTACTATGGCATATATGATGCGTGCAGCAAGTTCAGATGTGATATTGAAGGCTGGCATACCGAGAGTGGACCTGGCGTCTACGAAGCTGCGCTGGAGTACGGAGAGATCAGAGCGATGGCTGATAGGGCTGCTCTATTCAAACTCACCGTAAAGAACATCAGTTCGCAGTATGGTATCACACCTTGCTTCATGGCAAAGCCCCGGGAAGGCTTGCCGGGCAACAGTGGCCACATGCACGTCTCTCTCAAGGACAACAAGACCGGTGCGAACCTGTTCGTTCGCGAGAAGGCTGATCCCAACCCTCCCTTCGAAGGCCTCGAGCATGTCTCCGACATTGGCCGATACTTCCTGGCTGGACTCCTTGACGGCTTACCAGACATCATGCCGCTTGTGGCTCCGACTGTAAATAGCTATAAGCGCCTGGTGGAGAACTTCTGGGCACCAGTGACAGTCTCATGGGGGTTGGAACATCGAGCAGCGTCCATCAGACTGATCGCGCCGCCAACCTCACCTCCAAAAGGGACAAGGTTCGAGATTCGCGTTCCAGGTGCCGACACAAATGCGTACCTTGTCCTCGCTGCAATTCTAGCACTTGGCTATAGAGGTGTGGAGAAGAAGATGCCGCTCAATATACCACCTCTTGGAAAGGGACAAGACGTCGGAGGTGCCGATGATAAAGGTCAACGACTGGCAAAGAGCCTCAAGGACGCTACCGCGCAGTTCGCCCGGAAAGACAGCGTTGCACGTGAAGTATTCGGCGACGATTTTGTTGATCATTATGCCGGAACAAGGGAGCACGAGGTTAGACTATGGGATGAAGCAGTGACCGATTGGGAGGTGAAGAGGTACATTGAGACAGTATAGCGCCCTGATCTCAGCCACGCTTTTCTCTTGAAGACACTTCGCAAGGATTCTGCCATTAGTGGATGAAGCCTTTGAGATACTCTAATTTCAGACCGTTCCCACCGCGAAAGCTATGTGGTATTACCACAATGGACTAGGTTGTGGTCACTAGGCTGCCACATTCTGCGTGCTTCAAGTGACTTTCAACTTGTCTCGTGAAAATATCAAGGGCGACTGTCTTGCTGCCTGCAGCGGTCAATAAAGCACGATGTGACTTGTCTCTCAGTGGCAAAGGCTTCGCATGCGGGAGGCGCAGCTACTTTCATTGTGAATGGGATAAGCGGCAATGGAAGCACCACCTTTGCCTTACGTCAGCAGGGCCGTCGCAAACCACCCTCAGCCTCTCTTCTGGCAACACCTTTCCAACCACCACGATCTCTCTCCATCACCGCCATCACCGTCACAGACCGCCTCCCGTCCCTTCAAACAACTCGAAACAGCGCAAGTTCAACTGCTTTGGCCTTCGCTCGTCCGCGCCCGTCGCTCAGACTCTCGCCGCACGCCTCCGAACCTCTCCTAAGCGACAGGCACGATGTCCGCAGCCAACAACAACAACCTCTACGACCCTTATGTCCAGCGTGGTGGCGCGCAAGCGACTGCCGGCCGCGATGACCGTACTCAGGGTCTCCAAGATGTGAGTAGCCAAGCAGGCCCCGGAGCAGACCGCCCTCCGGCGCACTTGATACGGCGGCAATGGCGGGAAGCAAGCAAGCAAGCGGACACTGACGGCATGGACAGGAAATCGACGGCGCGGTGCGAACAATGCAGGACAACATCACCAAAATGTCGGAGCGCGGCGAACGTCTGGACAACCTGCAGGACAAGACCGATCACCTGTCGACCCAGGCGAATAGCTTCCGCCGAGGCGCCAACCGCGTGAGGAAGCAGATGTGGTGGAAGGACATGAAGATGCGCATGTGCATCATCATCGGCATTATCATCCTGCTGGTCGTGATCATTGTTCCCAGCGGTAAGTCTAGGCTCCAGCTGTTGAGGAGTGGTGTGGTGATGGGCTACCTTGGAGATGGAGACTGACGTTTGTACCAGCCATCTACGGAAGCAAGCACTAGACGGTGCAGCGTAGCGCTTTCAGTACGATATGACACCTTCGAATGGGACCCACGATTTGACATTGGCATGGAAAAGCGAGAATGCGGCAAGACGATCTGCCGCTGCCTTGAAGGAGAGCGAGCGGAAGTCACCATACCTTACATACCCCGAAACACCCTGTTGATCAGCATGCTTGAACTATTGAGACGATGGCGCGATGGAGCGAAAGGAATGGATACCGTGTGCACGTTCTGCTTCCGTAGTTGACTCCAATTGTAATTATACGACTCCTGGAACACACCTTCTGGGTACGACGTCGTATCAGACGATCACGGTAAGCGAGCACGGCAAGGCACAGAAGAGAGTGTGAACATCAGTCAGTCACATTAATTGTGTCGCTCTGGTCTCAAATGCATAAGGGTATCATGATGCTCGTCCCACCACTGCTGCTCAAAAAGAAGAAGACAATGCTGCAACGCGCCTGATCGTCCTCCCCTGGCCGTCCTTCTCGTGTCCTGTTTGTTGCTGGCAATGCGCATCCAAGCTGCTAGGTACTCCGAACAGCTTGCTCGTGCATGTATCGTGTGGGATCGGCGCTAGACGGCGCTGGTGGTCGCGTTGCGCCGCTTGACTTTGCCGCAGGTCAGGACGGAGGCGATGGCCATGAAGACGGCGACGATGCCGTTGATGATGGCCTTGACGACCGCGACTGTGAGGAGGAAGAGGTCGGTCAGTCTCGAGAAGCTGTTCGACGAGTGATGTGGACATACCAATGGCGTTGACGACGGCCATGAAGCAGGCCGTAATCGCGTGGACGACGCTCTCTGGATCACGGTTAGCATATGCGCTCGTGTGGTTGTTTGTGAAGTCGCCGCGACAGCAGCAGCAGCGGCGGCGGCGGCAGTGTTAATAGCTGGCTGGCTGGCAGGCAGCGGCAGGCATGGCGTACCGAAGCAAGAAACAAGGGCGCCCATGGTGACGGTTTCGTGGTTGACGGACTCGAGTGTGAGAGTCTTGGTGGATGTTGTCTCGTGTGTTGTGAGAGGTTCTCTGGGTGCACTGATGTTTGAATATCGCGAGTGCGTGGAGCTGTTTCTGGTATTGCTGTGGTGTAGCGAAGTTGGGGAAGTGCAAGTCGCGAGGAAGGAAGAGCGGAGACTCTTTTAGTTGTTTGGTGCGAGCTGGAGCGCAGTTGCTGTGGACGGATTGGGAAAGTAATGTTACACACCGTCAACGTGACGCAAACAATCAACAGGACCTTGCTGCTGTTCCAGGAACTGTGGGAAGGCGTTCCTCGCGAACGAGAAATTCACCTCCCACCTTGTTGCATCCCCTGTCATCTGCCCTCAACCGACATCACCATCCCATCCGTCTGCTGCACCTCACCATCATGCCAACTGCCTCCCGTCCTCTCGCCGAAGCCATCTCGTGTCCAGCAGCGTCTTGTGACGTTGGCGATGGAGTCCAATGTACCTGTTCTTCGCGCGAACAGGGTCCTAGCGCTGCACGTCGGCGACCCGAACTGGGCTTTGTTGGAAGAGGACAGCGGACAGCGGACAGCACAGAAGATGAGGTCGGAAGCTGATCGACAATGCGTGTGACGGTCCCACAAGCCGTGAACCTTGTCCGCCACACCCATGCTGGCAATGACCTTGCAGAACCTTGGAATTTGCTGTGGCGGTGGTGGCGCAGCAACGCCTTCGTTTGAAGATCATCAGTCCGTGGATGCACACGCGACTTGACCGCTCTCCTCCACGGTATACGTTTGCACGTATTGTGTACAGCGACTCTTCCACGGACGAACCGAATCATCTTCCGCCGGCGATGAAGAGCTCCGGTCCAGCATCATGGGCATGCACTAGCCTCGCCGACGTCATCCCCGATTTTCGCAGGCCGGTCAAACTGCGGATCACGACAAGGTAAGTCAACGTCTTTCGGAGCCGTCACCCTTTCAGATCACCCACTGGACTACCACCAATGAATACGAAGACTCGGGACATCACGGCTCCGACCTGAAATTCACCTCCCGAACTCAAGCGTATCTCTTGCGAAGCTGGAAACGGACGGGACCTTCGCAAGAGCCAGACACCTCGGACGATGAAGGCTGGGCAGAAAGAGCTGGCTAGCTGAACGTGACTGCACCTTCTTCTCCAGAAGTGCTCCAGAAGTGGGTCCCCATGCAGCCCTTGCCTGGTGATTGACGTATTTCCTGGCGGAAAAGAAGCTGGCAAGCCAAGTTGGGCGGTCAAGCTTGGAACCCATAACAATCCAAGCCCGTCCTGTATGGTCGTCATCGAGTAACTGGCAAAGAGCGCGAAATTTCGATAGCATGTTCTGTGGGAGAATGGATATCTTGGCCAACGTGAGCGACTACTGACATCGTGTCTTCGTCTTGCGAATGCACGATATCGGATTTGGTAATCCAACCGACCATCTCCAAACCTGTCCACGCGATTCAATCTGGAGTGCAGCATAACTCGCGGGTGCTTGGACGAAGATCTAGAGGTCGTGACAGAGAGCGCACACTGTAACCGCAGAATGCAATGCTTCTGTACCCCATTAGCCATGGAAGGAGGCAAGCGTCTATACAATTCGTCTCTGCTAGTTTGCTCATCCAATCCTTATACTCCACTGCTCCTGCTTCGAACAATGGAAGAGCCAAAGAATGACCATACACTTTATATCGAGAATGCAGCAGCAAGCGGCGAGAATGAAGAACAAGACGAAGACTCATATCAAAAGGACGAGAGGATGACCCTCCAGGCGTAAATAGCTCTCGCTGTACCTCTGCCGGAGAGTACATTTTAAAGAAGAGGGACTGACTGGATGAGACAGGCCCTCTCCTCCCCATGCATTGAATATGTTATGACCTTGTTAACGCCGTCAACCGGTGTTTCGTACATTAATGCAGACCTTGGACCGGATCCGAACTATACATGGATCAACAAGAGCATTCCGAGAGAGAAGCAGATTTCCTCTAGAGGAGTGATGAAGAGAAACGAAGGCAGAGGCGATGATTTGCAGAAAGTATGATCGCTGAGGCTCTCATTCCACCTTGCTTTTCTGCTTCTTGTGAACATGGAGGTAGATGAAGGGATAAGCGACCTCCGGTATCATCGTGATGACAATCGTCGCGATGCTCCAGAAGGAGCCAACGTACGGCCAATTCTCCGGGCAGTTGAGATAGCGCCAGAAGAAGACAGAATAAGCCGTCACACAGCCTAGGAATCTCGTTACCCTGGTCGGAGTTAGAACAAAGCCCGTCACATGGTTTGGAACGTGTGCTCTTACCAGATTTCAAGGGACTGGCCTTTGGTATCTCCACGTTGAAGGAGCAGGTAGACAGATCCCCATCCGATGGGTGCCTGGAGAATCAGTCCAGTCCAGTAAGCCGTCACCTGCTCGCGTTCGTCGGGAAAGTATTGACAGAGGACATGGAGGAAGGCCACGCCAGCCAAGATGCCCGCAACGAGTCGGGTCGCAACAACTCTTCGCTTCTCGGGAGGATAGGCCGCCAAGACCGCGACTGCGGCAAAGCTGGCATCAAGTGCAAACCAGACCAAGAAGCAAACCCTTTCGAATGTGGTCGAAGTGGTCACGAACGCATAGTAGATCTCATAGGCCATGGTGCCGCAACTTGCATCATCAACGTCAGTCAACGTCAGCAATGTGTTTTTTGGCCTGAGGAACAGGAAGCCGGATGGGAGAGACGGTCCCGGGGGACCTACAGGAATTCCACGGAGCCGGACAATGTCTTGTCCTTGTATGTCCGTGCCATGTAGAAGAGATAGCACATGGCGTAGAGCACGCCGCAAGAAATGATGAGGCCATCCTGGATGAAGAGGTAGGATTCCGGGGGATGGAGCTTGAGATCCGATGGTTGCACCTGTCGAGCCGCATCTATCCATCAGCACGAAACAGAGCAATTCGGGACTTGGGGCCTCTTCTCTCTCTCCGCGTTTGACTCACGATTAGATGGAAGTTGCTGTACTGATCTGCGAGTTCCCAAGTCATGGTTGCGGTGCAATGTGTAGCTGTCGTTCGTCGGATTGTGGGAGGTTATGGCTTTGGAAATCAACTCTCAATACTTCTTGAATGCGGGATATGTAAGCGGGAAAGTGAAGATCGGAGAGAGAGATTGCATTGCGTTTCATCATTTCTTCTTCTTCTTCTACTACTTCTAAGACCTACAGTCTGCTCCGGCTCCGTCCTGTGGTTCACGGGTGCGCTATGCCGAGCCTCTGTATGACGCGATGCCGATGGTTCCGGGGACGATTACTAAAGGATGTCGTGGTGTGTGGATGATGGGTTGGTACTTGGTGAGACAGACAGACCAGGAGACAAGCAGCATCCGCAGCAGATGTTTGTTGGTGTGGAATGAGTGTTGATTGCGGGTGTAATGTGTTGCCAGGTGGTGGGGAGATAACTTGGCCGTGTGCTCTCGTTAGCAGTGCTGAAAGAACAGCATGCCGCTAACACCTCTGAAAATCTCGAAAGCTGACCGGTTCATGAATTGCAGCGCCCTGAGACATCCATTCTGTGGACACGAAAGAGATGAAGTCGAGAAAGAGAATGTATAATAGACGAACTGGGAACCGCTCGTTGTTAGGTACGCCTTGGTGGACGAAACGCTAGTCTGTTCCGAGCCAGCTGAAACACATAAAGAATGATGAGGTGACTTCCAAGTTCGCTCCAACATACTCACACGGTTGACGAAAAATGCTGCAGGTATTGGGAACCTGACGGCGCCTTTCGCTGTTGACACTTGCACATTATTCTCAAGTCGACAGGAGATTTTCCCGTCGGGTCTACTGATCCTCTCCTTGAGCGAAGGGCAGGCGGTGAGGGTCGACGAGGAGCGTTGGTTATTCCGAAGCTTGCGGAGGACTATAGCGTAGCGACGAGAAGACCCTCTAAGCCTCATGTAGCGTTTGATATAATCAATGTGAAGGGGGGTCCTGGGGGTCTCCCTTAGTAAGAAGTTACCACGTAGTAGGAAGCTCCCCGAAAAGCCCTCGAAGAGCCGCCGGAGACTCGGAGAGCCGCCGGAGGTAGGAGTAAGTACCTAGTACGTAGTAGTAAGTAGTAGTATGTAGTAGTGTGTAGTAGTATGTAGTATGTAGTATGTAGTATGTAGTAGGTGCGGTAGGTAGTAGGTAGTAGATAGTAGGTAGTAGGTGGCAGGTGTCTTTCCGCTCACGTGTGCCCCCGAACGGCATACTACTCCTACGCCGCCGGGACAGGACAGCGCTCGCCGGGCTACTAACGGTATTTCGGCGTGGTATGGATGCACGCTACGGGTACATTTCGCTCGAATCTTAAAATTACTATCCGATAGCTCTCATTAGTTGTAACCATTGCTATTCTCTGTTTAAGAGAAAGTATGAATAAATCCAGTCGCCTCTTTCGCCCTCATCATCATCAACAGCTCAGTGTACATACATACATACCTCACAGCAATCATGCAGATCTCTATCCTATCGATCGTCACTCTCGTCGTCTCCGTAACGGCAGCAACACATAAACGCTATTATGTCGGCGGCCAATGCCACGGCACCGATCTTGAACACTGTCAAGCGCAAGGCGCGTGGGGCTGCGTGATGAACGAAAAAGTGCCTCAGATCTACGGTCCGAACTGCGTGAAGCAGACGAGCGGATGCAACAAGATCTGCCCTGTGGGTCAGGATGAGGCTTACCTCAAGTACAAGTAAGTTTTTGAACAAGTACATATATCGTTAGCATGAACCTAAGATATTAATGGGTTTTTGTTCACAGAAGCACCGATACTACTTGCATTTGCATGACCGAGGATGCTGCCCAGCCCTGCTGTTGATTCACGGTGGACTCCTTGCCAGATTAGGAAGGAGCTTCAAAACCAGATAGCCAGTCCAAGACGGCGTCGAGGTAAATTGGTCCTCTCGAGCATCCGGAATGCAATGAAAGAAACGGCACAGAGCGATGTCGTGTGCAAAACCAGAATAAGTCCTTGAGGAGAGAGCAGCGACAAAATGAGAGATGCAGCAAGGGAAGTGAGGTGGAAGTTGAGATTCCAATGCGGGAGGAAAATGTCCAGGGAAGCTGGTATCAAAGCCAATGTAGTCGTACCCGAGACGCCGTCGTGGCACACATCAAATGTTCCTGTCCTGGGACCACCCGCTTCATTGGAATGACGATCTCATCGAAAGTGCCGGTAACGCTGGGAGATACGAAGGTGTGTCATCAAAGGAAAACAACCCTCTCATTCCAGTGTACAGCCCAAGCCACTGGTAAGACTTCATCTCTCTCCAAACGTTGTATTTCAAATGGCCTAGTTCTCCCTCCTCACATCTCATTCCAACTTCTTGTATTTGCGAGAGATTCGACCGACATCCAGGCACAGATATGTTCTTCTTCGTGATTGCCAGCTTGGCATCGGCCTCTCGGGCTTTGGCTCTGACTGTACCAAGAGACACGGGCTGGTAAGTAGTGTGGCCTCTCCAAGTGGTCAGAGTTGCTGATCGGGTCAGTTGCTTCCATGCGTCAGCGCCTGATGGACCAGGTTCGACGGTCGGCCAGCTGAGCGACGGACAGAACCGCTTGAACCAGCCGGGACTGTAGGTACTCGGCTGTCTCTCAATCGGTCTGAGATCAGGGATGCTGATACCGTGTTTCCTTACAGAGACGAGGGCCAATACTGCTTTGGAAGCAACGGAGGTGAGCGACATCGCAGATTCCTCCGAATGAGTGCTGATGAGGAACAGGATTGACGGACTCCAATGGCCGCGGCTGCGTCATCACTGCCCCGACAGGTCAATGGCAGTGCGATGTGGGAGCGACTCCAACACCAGGCTGGTCCGTTGGCACAAATGGCTCGCTTGCGCTGGACGACAAAACCGAGTTCTATGCTTGTCAGTTACTCCCTGAGCCCTGGCTTCAACTGCTTCCGGTGCCACGTGAGATGCAGTGCTCGCTAACTTGTCTCGATGCTCGTAGGCCCGACGGGGGACAACGGCGGCTACAACGTATACAACAAGTAAGCGTAGACCAAGGTTTGAAAGGCGGCAGCGTCCTAATTCTTCCTGTAGACCGGTCGACAATCAGCAAGGCTGCGTTTCTGTCTGGCTAAAGGCAGACAACTGCGCTGCACCAGCGCCCGCTCCACCATCGCCAGCTCCCGCCCCGACACCTTCGGAGTGCCCAGCAGACCTTCCAGATGACTTCGAATACCCGCATCTCATTATTCCCATTGACTCGGCTCAGCCCAACACATGCCAGGGCACCCAATACAATGGTATCGCTGGGGGAACCGTCTCATCGATCTTCAACTTCGACATCCCTGTTAAGGCCAAAGGCAGGACCTGCAAAGTGAAGTTCCTGTTCCCCAAGCAGGCGCAATTGCAAACCTCTTCATACGCCTACACCGCTCCAGGAGTTTTCCAATTCGCGCAGCTCTCGGGCCCGGCTTCTAATTCGACGACTTTTGCATCGTCGCCCAAAGTCACGACTGATTTTGGCCAGTTCGCGATGCAGCCAGGCAATACTTATGATATTGCTTCATTTGACTGCCCGAGCAATGAGGTGATTGCGATTTGGATGCATGCCATTGACGGCGCAATCAACTACTTCCAGGACTATAATCCGTGCCGTAAGTGATATTCCCTTGAGGATCGCAGAGCTTCGATCAAGACTGACCACTCCTAAGCAATTGGCCTTTATGTTGTCCCGGAGTAGATACAGGTACGGCTCAAGTGGTAGAGGGCCTGGCGGAGGGCGAGAGTAGAGGACTCCACAGCAACGCAAGCCACAAGGCGTACGTTTCTTCGGTGAACGCCTGGTACTTAGATCGGACTGGCAAATCACGCAGTGTATTGTTGTTAATGAACTCGTTGGCTCCCATCTCGACGCTTCGATCAAGTCGTTCTTTTAGTCTGGCTTGGAACGGCCCTGTCATCACGGTAGGCTATCACAGCATGTGCGAGTATCGGAGTGACCTTGCGTTGCGAAATGTTCGTCCGGTTTGCTCCATGCCACTTCAACGACGAGACGCGTGAGCCATTCTCAACTCGGGAATCCTAGGATTCGGGAAGTCCTCAAAAGGAAATCCGGGCGAGCAACTTTCCCACACATCCCCGCGATGGCTCTTCGGTGGGGCTGGGGCTCACGCTGTTGGAGCTATCAGCTGCACGCGGGCGGCAAACAGGCATGAGGTACCGCTTGACTTTCTAGAACCGGCGGAAAGCAGCTCCAACGTGAACTCAATGCGAGGGCGCACCCTCTGCTTGGGTTGTCTACGCCGGTTCCTGGCGCGTAAGCTGCCCTTACAAGATACTCTCGTAGTCGTCCTGATACTTCTTCCATCCTCAGTTGCTCTCTCGCGACGTCGTAGCCCAATTTTCACTCAACTGTGCCGCAGATTACTAGGTCCCAGCAGTTGAGCTTGCTGTTGACCAGACCAAGGAAATCATCATGGCCTCACTTCTTCGTACAGCTCCACGAGCATTCCGCTCCGCTAGGATTGCTCCACGAACACTACCCCTCCTGCAATGCCGCAAGAAGCACGACCTCCACGATCCGCCACAGGGCAATCCTCCCATCGCAGGCCGAGGACCGCCGGATCCACCAAGAGAAGAAGCCTCTGCTCTGAAGGATAATTCCAAGTCAGGATCATTCCTTGGAACCACGAGACGATTGCCCGAATTCAACTTGAACGACAAGGTAGTCCTCGTGACCGGCGCAGCGAGAGGTCTGGGTCTTGTACAGGTAGAGGCTCTTCTCGAGGCCGGCGCGACGGTGTATGCTCTTGACAGGTTGTCCGAGCCCAGTCCGGATTTCTATAGAGTGCAGCAGCGCGCTGCAGAAGAGCTCGGTGGGTTGTCGTGCGCATAATGGTTTTGGTCCAGAGCCTGACGAGGTACTGCAGGTACGACGCTACACTACCGCCAAATCGACGTAAGAGACGTGCCAGCATTGAACGAGATTGTTCGAAGCATTTCGGACGCACAAGGCAAGCTTGACGGCTTGATTGCTGCAGCAGGAATCCAACAGGAAACACCAGCCCTGGTAGGCTTCGCCAAAGCATTAGCGCATTGTTCTTTGAACACGGTCTTCTGTATGTTCCACTTCGTGCGAGTATAGGCTGACTTTGCTTTTCTAATGGTAGGAGTACACGCAGAAGGATGCCAACACGATGTTCGAGGTTAACATTACAGGCGTCTTCATGACCGCGCAGGCTGTTGCGAAGGAGATGATCAGACATGGTCGAGGCGGAAGCATCGCGATGATTGCTTCCATGAGTGGCTCGGTGGCCAACAGGGTAAGGCAGAAGATGAAAGTCCTGTTGCCGTTCATCTCCGAAGCTGATATTGTTCAGGGTCTGATCTGTCCGGCATACAATGCGTCCAAAGCTGGCGTTATCCAGCTTGCGCGCAACCTGGCGTCCGAGTGGGGTACTCATGGAATCCGTGTGAATACCATCTCTCCCGGATACATTGTAACCGCAATGGTGGAGGCGCTGTTCGAACAATACCCTGAGAGGAGGAGGGACTGGCCCATTCAGAACATGCTCGGCAAATTGAGTTATCCGCATGAATACAGAGGTGCCGCGGTATTCCTGATCAGTGATGCCAGCTCCTTCATGACCGGTAGTGACCTACGAATCGACGGAGGGCATTCCGCTTGGTAGACTCGCATATTGTCCCGTCCCCCATCGAGTTCTAGCTTAGCGTTGATAGAATAGACTCAAGAGTACAGCCAGACATCCCCCAAAGTCATCTTTCTTCAGGCGCGCTTTGTTGTGGATCCGGTCTTGTCTTTACTTCTTTCCCCATGAAGCGTCGCTGCCACAGCTCCCACGAAAGCACGAGAGCGATGGGAGCCGAGACCATCAAGGCCAAGAAACGGCGGTTCAAAGCCTTGTAACGTGGATCTGATCGATCAGGTTTGACAGCTTGATTAGCCGCGTCTACATCTTGAGGCTGTCGTGACGTTCTCTGCGTTGGCCGCTCGTAAGCAGGAGGTTTGGGCGGCGGAGGGCGTTTCGAGGCTGTTGAACAGCATCGTGCTGATCGCACTGCGCGAATGTGGAAGGGTGGCATACGTGGGAAACGAAGCAGATGCTGGCAACGAAGAGATGGCAGAAAACGGAACGAAACTGGTCGTTGGCGGAGACAGCTGGGGCTGCACGTGACAAGGTGACAGGCACGTTGCGAGCCCCGCCGAGTCTCGGCAGTGGGGGACACTAGCGTGTTCGGCAGACGCGTCGAGGCAATACCACACCCAATGCGTCCACAAGTCGTTCTTTCCCAACATTTCGCAAATGCGCTCGACACTCGCACTTTCCGCGCGTGTGGGCGGCTTCCTCATCCATACCTTAAGGTACCTTAAGGTTCCTCAGAGGGGCCTGCACGCTGACCCCACGACGCGTGCAAAATGTCCGCAACCGACGCAGAGTCACTGCGCGACATCGCAACGGCATTGCTCCCCAAAGCTGCGCCAGACTTCAAAGAGGTCCTCGCCAAGCCCGGTCGTCTCTACATCGCCATCCTAAGACACAACGTGCCTCATCAGCCCGGCGACACGCGCATCGACGCCGACTTTGTGTGGATAAAGGGAAATCAGAGGCTTGCCACTGCCCTCATCTTGGGTGCTTACCGTGCCAAGTGCGAAATCGACGACCTGCCCATCGCTCTGAGATGCGGTGACCTGGTCCTAAATGACGATACGAAGATGGCGGATCTGCCAATGAAGGACCAGCTCGTGCTGCTTACCGCCGTCAACGGCCAAGCAGAGCCGCTGCCAGCAAAGTCTAGAACGCCTCTGCAGTCCGTCAACCGCCAACAAAAAGCGCCTCCTCAAGGATCGCACGATGACCGACCCAAGGCCACACCTCCGAAGAGCAAGGACCAAGTTCCGCAACCCCCAGTTTGCACCCCTCGAGCGACCTCGGCTATCCATACTGCGACAGGTACTCTGGCTACCAAACCGGAGATCGACGAGCTCCGCCACAGGACATCGCCGGTACATGTAGCTCAGACCATTCCAGCCAGTTCACGTCTCGAGCCTGAAGCTTCGGTAATCCAGAATCCAATTAGGCAGGATCAAGTCACCAAGAATGAACCACAACTCGATGAGAACGGGGCTGAAGCTCAAGCATACCAACCACGCGATCATGACAATCCTTTTGCAGAATCCCAGGGCGAGGAGCCAGAGCAGAAGGTTCGGGGCCTACCTCTGCAGGCATTTGGCCAACGAGACGACGCCTGAGAGGCTCGAGGCTGGTGTCGCAGCAGGTCTGAAAGTTCTTGCCGAAATCGAGGCACCTCTGAAAGGCTTGAAAGATAGTGCGGACGCCCAAAACTGGCTGACACAGATTGAGAACGTTCGGAAGGAAGCCATAAAGTCTCGCACTGTTGTTGGTGTTGTGGGAAACACAGGTCTGTTCACTTTCGCCCAACTTTGTGTACAGTTCTAATCCCTTCTCACGTAGGTGCCGGCAAGAGTTCTGTCATCAACGCCGTGCTGGAAGAGGAGCGACTTGTGCCCACGAATTGCATGAGGGCATGCACGGCCGTTGTGACCGAAATGTCCTACAACAACTCTGAGAATCCTAACGCAAAGTATCGGGCGGAGATCGAGTTCATAAAGCCAGAGGACTGGAAGAGGGAACTGCGGATACTCTTTAGCGAAATCTTTGATGACAACAACAATTTCTCGAAGGAAATCTCCAATCCGGATTCTGAAGCTGTACGTATATCACTGAGCGACAGGATCATTCGATGGGTTGACCGTCTGCTGATCAAACCGCTTCCAGAGCATTGCTTACGCAAAGATTCGTGCCGTATATCATAGACACACGCGAGAAATGCTACAAGCGAGCGACGTGGACTCACTGATGAAAGTGAAGCACGTCGAGCGGGTTCTGGGACAGGTCCAAAAGATTGCTCAACGCGACCCGATGGCGTTCAACGTCCGACTGCGGCATTACGTCGATTCCAAGGAGAAAATCACCGAGAAGCAGAAGACTTCTAACAAGACAGGCGAGAAGAAGAGCAAGAAGATCAAGCGCGAATTTGAGTACTGGCCACTAATCAAGGTGGTAAAAATATACACCAAGGCGGAGGCATTGTCCACAGGCGCAGTCATTGTCGATCTGCCAGGAGTCTCCGATCAGAATGCAGCCAGGGCTGCCGTCGCTGAAGGTTACATGAAGCAATGTACAGGCCTTTGGATTGTTGCACCTATCACCCGCGCGGTTGATGACAAGGCTGCAAAGACCCTCCTTGGAGACAGCTTCAAGCGACAGCTTAAGTACGACGGCACTTACTCAGCAGTGACTTTCATCTGCAGCAAGACAGACGATATTTCGTACACGGAGGCGATGGACAGTCTCGATCTCGGGGAGGGTATGGACGAGCTCGAGGAGAAGCTAGTCGACATCTCCAACAGGAAGAGCCCACTTCTACGAGAAATGAAGAATGCGAAAGCTAGCAAAGAGGATCATGAAGAAGTCATGCAGCAAGTGGACGACGAGATCGAGACGTGGGAGACCCTGTCTGAAGATCTCGCAGCAGGCAAGACTGTCTACCGTCCGAGTCATAAGAAGCGCAAGAGATCTTCTTCGTCCTCCTCTAATACCGCAAACAAACGCCGTCGCCGACGTGCGATCGATTCGGACAACGGAGACGAGGACTATCATGAGGACGAAGAAGATATAGAAGATGAACCCTGCGCTGATAATAGTTCCGAGCCTCTGACGGAGGCCGATATTGAGCAGAAGCTGGATGAGTTAAAACAAGTCGAGAAAGAAGGCCGGCGAGAGAAGCGCAGCATTGATGCTCGCATCCGGCAGCTACGGGACGAGCTGGACAGCCTCGGTGACGAAGAAGACCAGATCTCAGCCAAAAAGAGCAGTCTTTGTATTGCTGGCCGTAACGAGTATTCAAAATCTGCGATTCAACAGGACTTCGCAAGCGGAATCAGAGGTGCGACAGGATACGGAAAAGCCCCATGAGCTTCTGAGAGATCAATCGCTGACCATGATCACAGAATTGGATCTCGAAGCAGCTGAAGAAGAAGACCCTGATAACTTCAACCCCGAAAATGACATTCGAGACTACGACGAGGTGGCTCGCAGCCTGCCAGTGTTCTGCGTCAGCAGTCGTGCCTACCAGAAGTTGTCTGGAAGAATGCAAAAGGACAGCGAGGTTCCCGGTTTCACTGAAGCTGAGCAAACCGAGATTCCGCAACTACGAGCGCACTGCAAGAAGCTGACGGTGAAGGGCCGCCAAGCGGGCTGCCGACGATTCCTTAATAGTTTGAAGTAATTGCTGACTTCACTTGGCCTATGGGCATCCGACAATGGCAGCGGCATCAAGCTCACAGCACAACAGAGGGATGCTGAGAAATCTTTCCTATCCCGGACGTTGAAGGAGCTCGAAAAGGCTCTATCGAAGTTCCCCTCCGCAGTTCAGGCTGCTGCCAATGACGCTGTGGGAACTGCTACTGGTTGGGGTGCCCGTAAAGACGAAGGTGGGCTTCTGTGGTCCACATACAGAGCCACTGTCAAGCGAAATGGCGTGTTCGCTGGTGCTTCAGGGGCTCGCGACTTCAATGCTGAGCTCACAGAACCGATCTACAAACAGAGTGCGTGGAATGATGAGATCCACATCTGAGCTGGAGCTCACGCTGACCTTGTTGTAGTTGCCACCAATTGGGAAAAGTCCTTCCAGCGCAGACTTCCTCACATCCTACAGGCTTTCTCCAAGTCTGTCGGAAGCGTGCTGAAGAACTTCCACAATGCAGTGGAGCAGCGAAGTCGCGACAAGGGCCACGGACTGGCACGAGTCGCCATGTTGGGAGGACAGCTGGAAGCGTATTCAGCCATCTTCAAAGACCTCACGAACGTCGCTACGCAGTCACTCAACGAAGGCCAACGTGAGCTCAATCGCGAGTTTACGCCCTTCATCGCAGAGATCATGTCGCCCACGTAAGCTCAAATTTCGTGCCGGAGAGATATGCGACTGACCTGCCATTAGATACGAGTGGTGCGCCGAACAGCGCGGTCCTGGCGTTTTTGTGCGCATGAAGAACGCCGTAAATGATCACGTTGCAAAACAACGGGAACACATGTTTCAAAACGCGGCCGCAGCGGTAAGAAAAAAACTGCTCAAACTGTGCGAGTCCATCAAGAAGACCATGCTTGACAAGGCGGATGAGGTCTATGTCTCAAGTAAGTCCATGTGATGATGACGGAGTCCTTCCAACCCCCGGCGATACGGGCTCGCTAATCTCGATCATAGTGCAACGAGACTATTTGACTGTCGTTGGCGTGAACAAGACGAGCGAAAGTCGAATGCCCCGAGAAGAGCGTGCCATCCGGCGCCAGATCGATGAGATCGTCGAAGGAGCAGACTCTGCAATGCAGCAAGTCCTTACGACCGAGTTGAACGAGCTCAAGACAGGGTTTGAGCCCAACGGACGTGATGCACTGGTCGCGCAGAACAGTACTGACGAGGACATGGAGATGGACTTGGACGGCACTGGTTCCGGAGAAGACATTGCAGAAGAGGAGGAAGACGAGACCGGCAGTGAGGAAGATGAAGACGACGACGACGGCGACGACGACGACGACGATTAGGACGCCAACAGCGAAGCTGCCTCTCCAGATCGCCAGGGTGCCGACCATGAGGAGTTGTAGGAGACTGCGCCGGACTCCGCTGCATTATCGCCCGCCTTTTCTAGAGGTACCTCTTGCCGACGATGGCGGTCAAGCATCGCCTCGGAGAGCGTCTGCATCCAGCATTAGCTTCGTGATGTGCGCGGAACCGTTTCCAGGTCTCGCTTTCTGTACATTCTGTACAAGCATTCTAACACAAGGTCTTTCTAGTGAAAGCTCGGTCCGAGGTGCCAGCGATATTGTGCAGTCAGAGGGCATCTGGTCTTGTCCTGATTCTTATATTGCATGTCAGCGGAGCACGCCAAGGCGAAGGACACAGACATTGGAAGAAGGGTGTGAGGTCGGGGCGGTTTCTTTTTTTAGACATGACGGCACGGCGATCCTCTCATCCTCTTCCACTAGGCTAAGGTAGGTCGTGCCAACAACAACATGGCTCCTTTGCGGCGTCGCTTCGCTCCTGCAACATGCGCAGTGGGATTGCAAGGCCTAGATGCACACCTTCTCGAACCGTGCACTCATTAATTGACGCCGGCAACAACATCGACGGCCTGTCTGGCAGACTTGGCAGGATTCCACTGCTTAGAAGACGCTTTGCAAGAAGGTAATGTATCATCAAAAACGAGATACGATGCGCTAATAAGCGTATCACTACTAGGTTCGCGGCATGGGACGGTCTGGCTCGGCCCTTGCGAATACGGGGGATCGCGCTGCTCCGCCCCAGTGCCAGTTGCTATTTTCCTCCATGGTCTCTGCCCGTCCCATCCGTCGCCTCGTAGCGATCAGCGTACAGGGTCATCCCATTCCTTAGGCCTCCGCCGGTGGGCCCAGCCGCTCCCTACAGCATCGCGAAATCGCCTGGTCATGGCAGAAGCACTCCTACGGTCCGCAGCCGGAACGGCGCATCCCAAGCTCACTCATCTCATATCCGCTGGCAAGAATAGTAGGTCGCCACGCTAGGCGCCCGCAGCGTCCATCAGTCAAACTGGCGGCATCTCAAGCCACTTCTGCCATTCTCGGACTCTTCGCCTCTCGTACGGCACAGACGGGGTAACGCGGTCCTTCATAATTGCATTATCCTGCGCTATCGAATGCGCGGTGCCCGAGCAACCACGCTTTTCGGTGCGTGTCTGCCTTCTCTTTTTTGTGGAGATTGACCATGCAGCTATGCTCCTCCCGCCAGTATCGGCGCCCACACTTCCATTTCGACCCTATATCTCCAATTGAACCCTTAATGCCTCCCGTCCAAGCGTCGGCGCGCCCGTTTCCCGGCCTGAAGCTGGTGACTACGAGCTGTATGGATTTAAACCAGCAGAGCCGGGACGAATACTTCTGTGATCCGTCCTATGAGCAATTCGAGCCCCTCAATCGACGCGCACCTCCCAGGAGAGCCAGACCAGTCTGCCGTGCCAGTCCAGTATCGCCGAATCTCTGGGAAAACGAATTTGCGCACTCTCTGAAGCCGGACTGGCAGCCGATGGAAGCTTCAGTGCATCTTGCACCCGAACCACTGTTCGCGACGCGGCGTCGCTCCACTGCTCGTGGCACCTATCAGCGGTCTACGTCCAGCAGACAGAACCGGCGACCGGCGCGTCTTCAAGATCCAAATAGCGAAGCAGCGATCGACGCGCAAGAGAGCGACATGGACCAAACCTTCCTGTATCCTCAGAGAAGCCCCTTTGAAGACCATTCCAGTTGCATCAGGACCCCGAATCAGCTTCAGCGAGTTCCTCGAGCGGTCAGCCAACCCAACACCCCGGGTTTCTGGCGACAAGATCAGCCGGACGCGAGTGAGGGCGCGACGCTCCTACTTCCAAGGTCGCCTACATATCCCCCTGCTGGTCGGAGAAGGCCACACAGTACAAGTAATATAGCCGATGCGACCTTCATGGACGAGGAGGAGTTTCATTTGTTCGTGCAAGCGACTGCGGGTCTGGGGCAAGAGCAGGTATATCGAAACTCGAGCTGTTCATCAGAATCATCACTGGGAGACTCTTCACAGCATAGCGGCCGACAACGAATGCAGCGGTCGGAAGCAGTACAAGTAATCTCGCCGATCCAAGAGACACCGACGACCATGTACGCCTTGCAGCAGCTTGCCCAGTTGCCTCAAGGATCGCAGTTGTGCCAGCAACAAGAGGTTGAGGACCGCGCCAGATTCGGAAGAATCAATGCCAACATGGACGAGATCGAATTGTGGCTGAGCGGTGCCTCACCGGGGGAAAGCAATTCGATGGATGACGAATTGCCCGACTATGCAGAAAGCCAAGCGCAGGCCCAGCTTGCACAAAGAGCAGAAGCAGCGAGGAGAGCACAGGAATTGCAAAGACGCTGGCAACAGAGCAGATGAAAGACCGCCCGGTAACCGCGTCAGGCATCGCGCTTTTGAGGGCAGGGGAAGGCGACGTGAAGAGTGTTGCAGAACGCGGAATGACCCAGCCATTGTCGAACGATCCCGAGCAGAGATCAATTTCAGCTTCTTGTACATATCGTACAGTGGAAAAGCGGCACCTCTTTAAAGATGGGAGCCCCTTTGAATTTGCAAAACAAGCCCGTAACCGCATACTATACCTTAACTTCCATTGCGATCCACACAGCCAATCATCGCCGGACATGCAAGATGGACCCACTTCCCCGATCTCCGAGATCTTGGACACAGGACGTCACTGCAGACTGCAGCGCCTTGAACCTTGCCGAGTCGAGTTGCCTCCTACGCAAACCAATAACAATGCGTACCAGTTACTGTGTCTGTGTGTGTGGGAAACGGGGTGTGGGGTGAATGGCTGGTTTCCTTGGCCCTTGCATCTCTTTGCAGCATCTCTTTGCCTTGCTACAATCCGTACCTTAGACCTCACGACATCCTTCTCACAACTGCCACAACATGTCCAAGCCTCGCGTCATTTACTGGTACTCCACCTCCTATCCCTTGTGCGCGAGCCATTCTAGCCCCGTGTGCTGATGTGCCACAGGTTTCGAACCGACTTACGGCTCCATGACAATCCCGCGCTCAAAGCGGCACTGGACCTCAAGCCAGAAGTGCTGTACCCAATCTGGTGTTGGGACAGTCATTGTACGGTGATGCCGAACACCATTCCCAGACCCGGGTGCTGACCATCAACTGCTGGTGTCTAGATGTTTACCGCGCCAGGGTCGGAGTCAATCGATTCCAATTCCTGATGGACTGCCAGAATGATCTCTCCAAGAGCATCACGAAGCTCAACAAGAAGAGCAAATTATTCGTCATGCGAGAGCCGGCGCTCACGCTGTTGCCGAAGCTGTTCAAGGCGTGGAAGATCTCGCATCTCGTGTTTGAGAAGGACACCGATGCCTATGCCCGGGATCGCGACCACGAGGTCATGGAGATGGCGAAGAAAGCTGGCGTCCAGGTCATCGTCAAGTCTGGTCGCACGCTCTGGGACAGCGATGAGATCGTCAAGGCAAATGGTGGCAAGCCTACGATGAGCAGCACGCAGCTCCAGGCGGCCGGGGCCAAGGTTGGGGAGATCGCCGCGCCAGTGGCAACGCCTACATCTCTCCCGGATCCGGGGGACATGAAACTGGACGAGATCGAACAGACACAACCCGACCCGAAACCGGACTTCAACGAGAACCATCGTGATGGACAAGAGAGATCGTACAGCTCTGGCATTGCTGGTCCCAAGGGAGACTACGCGCCACCCTCGACGGGGGAATTGGGCATGCCATCTGCCACAACACCTCATAAAGGCGGCGAGAGTGTCGTCTTGAAGGCCCTGGATGCCATGTTTGGCGACGAGGATTACGTTGCTACCTTTGAGAAGCCGAAGACTTCGCCCGCGGCCTTTGAGCCACAATCGACGTTTCTGACCTCTCCGTACCTGCACTTCGGTGCTCTGAGCTGCCGCTACGTACGTATCACAAGTTCTTGATTGCGATGGCCCCGCTGATGTCTTCATGATAGTTCTACCATAAAACCGAGGAGCTCATCGAAAAGCGCAAGAAGACTAAAAAGCCCTGCTCCAGCCCACCAGAAAGTCTGACGGGACAGCTCCTCTTCCGAGACATGTACTTCGCCTGCCAGGCTGCTCTGGGTTGGAGCTTTGGTCAAACGTATAACAACAGCCATTGCCGCTTTGTGCCGTGGCATTTACCCAGCAAGGTGAACGTGCGCACGAAAATTGTCACGGGAGAGTACGAAGTCGACGACGAGGAAAAAGAGGTCTGGTTCCAACGGTGGCGAGACGGCACGACCGGATTCCCGTGGATCGACGCGATCATGCGCCAACTCCGCCAGGAAGGTTGGATCCACCACCTGGCGCGGCACTCCGTCGCCTGCTTCCTCACCCGCGGCGGGGCGTACATTTCCTGGGAACGCGGCGCCGACGTCTTCGAAGAGCTGCTCCTCGACCACGAAGCCGCGTGCAACATCGGCAACTGGCAATGGCTCAGCTGCACGGCCTTCTTCGCCCAGTTCTACCGCTGCTACAGCCCCATTGCCTTTGGGAAGAAATGGGACAGCAACGGCGATTACATCCGCCGATACGTCCCGGAACTCCAGGCCCTGCCGGCCAAGTACATCTTCGAACCCCACAAGGCTCCGATCCAGGACCAGAAAAAGGCCGGCGTTCTCATCCGGGGCGATGGATCCGAGACGGAAAGCGATGGCGGCCATCGGCTGTATCCGAAGCCCATGTTTGATTTCAACGAGCGCCGCGAGATTTGCATTCAGGGCATGAAGCAGGCGTATCACGTCAAGATGTACGGGGACGATCCGCGAGTGCTGGATGGGTCGTGGAAGCAGGCGTTTGATGACTCCGCCGAGGGTCCCACGGCTGGGGAACATGGTGGGCCGGGAGGACTGGACACTTTCGATGATGCTGATGCGGATGGGACTGAAGAAGAGGGCGGCGGCGGCGGCGGCGAGGAGGGCCGTGGCGCGGGTTCCAAGAAGGCAACGAAGCAGAGTCCCAAGAGTCCGCAGGCGGCGTCGCGGCGCGGACATAAGCGAGAGCACAGCCAGGGCACGTTGGATGGGGCTTTCGAGAAGAAGCGCGCGAAATGAGGGCGGTAGTCAAGAAGAAGGGATGATCATCATCAGGTGGGAGAGAGAGAGAGGTTTCGAGGTGTAGGAGAAAGAGAAAAAAAAGTTGCTTGAGATTTGGATATTGGCTACAGTCTGTCTGTCTTCTTGCGTGAAGATACCACCCGCCCGCCCGCTTTGCTAAAGAAAGAGATCCGCTCTAGAAGAGATCCGCTCTAGAAGAAGATTCTAATATGAGAGAGAGATATACCTCCCGGCACCCGGGATCCGTCCGCCTCGAACGATCACAGTAGTAGTAGTAGTAGTAGTAGTAGTAGTAGTAGTAGTAGTAGTAGTACCTCTAAACACGACCCGGAGGAAGCAAATCCAAACGCAACGATTCCGTCTTATTGTTCACGCGAATCAAAGTCGCCAGCGTCGTAGGGGGAGGAATCACCACCACCACAGCAGCCCGCTGCTTGTTCCCGGGAATGACGGCCGTGACGCCCTCGTACGGCTTCCCCGGGGCCCGCGCGGCGCCGGACGAGTAATCCTGTCTTGAAGTAGAAGGAAAAACAAAGTGTTAGTTAAGTCAGCATCTCTCTTGAAGAAGAAAAAAAAAAAAAAAATTCCGCAAGCAAGGAATTGGGGGAATTGGGGATCCAAGGGGTGATGTGATGGCAAAAAAACTCACTCCGTCGCCAGCCGCAGCGTCGTGGCATACGCGAACCACGCATAGCTTTCGGGATTCCGCACGGCCGTGACGTCGGCGAGGTGTGTCGTTTCCGGCTCCGCCGTGTCGTACATGGGCAGCGTCATGCATTGTAGGGCTTTGTCGGCGTTGGTCTCGTCGGCAGCACCAGCGCCGTCGCGTCGAGCGAGGTCGAAGGCGGATTTCTTGCGCGGCCAGCTAAGAAAAAGACAAGAAAAAAGAAAGCATGTGTTAGAGGATTGCAAGTACTGCTTTTGCGGTTGGGGGAAAGAAAGAAAA